TGTCCAGATTCAGACTGATCGAACCCAGCTGCTCAGGCAACAACTTTTGAGAGAAAATCTTAGAAAAGTGAATTCAACAACATACCATAATCAGGTGGGATTTATTCTGGACATCTACAAATCAGTCAGTGTGATATATGACAAAAAATGAGTGGTAAGGGCTTCCCTGGTGGCTCAGTGGTAAAGAATCCACATGCCAGTGCAAGAGACACAGGTTCGATCTGTGACCTGGGAAGATCTCACATGCTCTAGACCAACTAAACCCATGCTTCACGACTATGGAGTTGTACCTTCGAGCTTGGAACCATAACTGCTGAGCCCATGTGCCACAGCTGCTGAAGCCCGACGTTCCCTAGAGCCTGTGCTCTTCAACAAGAGGAGTCGCCACAATGAGAAGCTCACAAATTGCAACCAGGGAGTAGCCCCCACTCGCCAAAACTAAAGAAAAGCCCATGCAAACAGTGATGACCCAGCACAGCCAAAAATAAATTATTTTTAAAAAGATAATGATAAAAATTGTGTAATCAATTCAGTAGATGCAGAAAAAGTATTTCACATAATTCTATATCTGGTTACGATAAAGACTCAACAGAGCAGGTATGGAGAGAACACACTTCAATATAATAAAGACATATGTGACAAAACTACAGCTAACATCATACTCAGTGATGAAAAGTTGGAAGCTTTTCCTCTAAGATAAGGAATATGTTCATGAAAAGATCCTCAGCATTATTAATCATTAGGGGAATGCATATCAAAACCACAATGAACTATCACATCACACCTGTTAGAGGAGCTATTAAAAAGATTTTAAAAGGAAGATAAATAACCTGTGTTGATGAGGATGTGGAGAAAGGGAAATGCTTATGCACAGTTGTTGCAGCTACTATGAAAAATATGGAGGTTCCTCAAAAAATTAAATAATTGAGCTACCATATCCAGTAATTTTACTTCTGAGTATTTAGCTGAAGAAAAAGAACAAAAAGATACCTGCACTTTCATGCTTATTGCAGCATTGATTGAACAGTCAAAATACAGAAACACTCTTAAGTGTCCATCAGTAAATGAAAGGATTAAGAAATCGTGTGTATGTGTGTATAGAGGACTATTACTCTGTTGTAAAAAAGAGATGAAATCTTAACCATTTGCAGCATGGATGAACCCTGAGGGCTTTATGCTAAGTGAAATAAGTCAGAGAAAGACAAATACTGTCTGATCTCTCATATGATAAGGATTATATGTGGAATTTAAAAAAAAAAGCTCATGGATACAGAAAGCAAATTGGTAGTTTCCAGAGGCAGATGTGGGTGGTGGGCAAAATGGGTGAAATTGATTAAAAGATTAAAATAAAAAGAAAAAGAGAAAGTGTTCTTTCTATGTACAAGAAAACTCACTATAGTGTTTTCTTGAATGTTTAGACCACTTTGTTCTGCAGTCTTCTCCATCTTAGTAAATGGCACAACAGCTTCCTACTTTCTGAGACAAGAAAGTTTAATTTTTAACTTTTCTGTTAAAACAATTCCTGTGGTAAATCTTTCATGTATTTTCCACTTTTATCATCCTGGTCCAATCTACTATCACCCTTCTTCTGTATTGTGTCTTGTAAGGCTTATCATTGTCCACACCTTTACTTTTCATCGTCTGTGCTCTTACCTTACCTGTTAGCACTGTTCCGTTTGCTCCCTGTTTTGTAGCCGTGTTGGCCCTGTTGTTCTTAGAACATATCAAGAATGCTTCTTCTGCTCTCTCTGTTTTGTACTTGCTGTTTCCTTTGTTTGGAACATTATTCCCCTAGATGCCTACCTGAGCTGGCAACTTCTTATTTTTCTGGCTTCAGATGAAATGTCTCCTCCTTAGTTAGCTTTTACTGTTCACCCTTTTTTAATAGCAGTCCCCTTTGACATCATTTTATATGTTTTTCTCTGCCATTTTTTTCTGTAGGATTTATCACCTGATCCATAATGCATTAAAGCTATTTGTTTGTTTATTGTTGTACTCGTAGGAAGTAAATTATGAAAGCAAGAATATTTTTTCAGTTTTGTTCACTGCTGTCTTCACAGCCTATGGTATAGTAAGTGCTTGACAAATTTTTGTTAAATGTGTGAATCAGTAGGAGACTTGATAAATTAAATGTTCATCCATATCTTGGAACACTGTCTAGCCTTTACAGAGGATGAGCTAGATTCTTTCTATATACATAATGTAAACAGCAAATTGCAGGACGGTATGCATAGTGTGATCTTAATTGTGGCAAATTCTGTTTATAAGTGGCAAATTCATACATATCTATATGTCCTGTGTGGTCAGGAATTTTACTGGAAACTGTTAATGTGGGATGTATCTGCAGAGATGAGGAGCAGAGGAGAGACAGTTTCATTCATATCATTTTATGGTATTTGATTTTTTTGATCATGGGAATATATTTTCTCTATAATAATTGAAAATTATTTAGTTGCTTCTGCACTTAGAAAACTATAGAGGAAGAAACTGATGTTAATCAGCTGTGGTTAAACTCCAGCAGTAAACCACCCTTTCATTCCCTTGAATAATTTCATTGGGTTTTTTTATCTTCTTGGATAAAAGGCTTAAACACAGCCTTTACATTCTTTTTATATTTGTTTTATCTCAAAGATTTGTTCTACATAGTATCATCTGTTTGATTTTATGCTTGTGCTGTATGCTTAATCACTAAGTCATGTCTGATTCTTTGTGACCCCATGGACTTAAAACCCTCCAGGTTCCTCTGTCCCTGGGATTTCCCAGGCAAGAATACCAGTGTGGGTTGCCATTCCCTTCTCCAAAGGATCTTCCTGTCTTAGGGGTCAAACCTATGTCTCCCTCATCTCCTGCAATGGCAGGCAGAATCTTTACCACTGAACCACCTGGGAAGTCGGATTTTATGCTTCTTCACCCTGATCATAGTCTGCAGGACAATTGTTTTACTTTTTTTCCTCTGTTGTTAGGAGTTCAGTATGCATTGAGTATGTAAACAAATTCTGTTTTACAAACAGACTTTTTTTTAAACTAAGCCTTTTTTTCTCAGGTGTGAAAATTTTGGCAGGCTTTGTTACTGTTCTAGGTCAATAATTATAAACCCAATTGTATAGAATACTTCTTTTTTAAAATAAAAACTTTGTTATACCTTTTTTTATGATGTGGAAAAGGAATTCAGTAAATACCTACTACACAAATTGTTTTGAAAAATACTATAATGCCCTAATTATATTGAAGATAAGGAAATGAAAATGATTTATAGTAGAAACATATTTCAATAGAGCAAATGTTGTTAATGTTAGATTAAGTTAATAGCAAATTAGATTTGTATGTGATAAGAGAAAGTAGGAAGTAATCTTAAGCTAAAATTGGAATAACATGCTATGAAAAGTTACAGACTGTTACTCTATAAGAAAATGAATAAGTGTTATATTCTTATAAGTTGCGCCTTGTTTTTAAGTGCAATGTCAAAATATATTCCTTGTTATGAGTTAGAACTGAATGGTGAAAAAAATCACATAAAATATCATCCATCCATCCATCATGTATAAGGCATTAGTTAATATTTAGTTTGTATACTTAAAAAGATTTTGGAGACCATACCCTTTGTGAAATAATAGAAATCAATGATAGATTGGATGAAGAAATAGTACTAGAAGCTGCTGTAAAGAGGTTGTATAGTTGTAAACTTTTTGTAAAATTTATTTTTAATTGGAGGATAATTGCTTTACAGTGTTGTTGATTTCTGTTCCATAGTAGTGTGAATCAGCTACAAATATACATATACTCCCTCCGTCTAGAGCCTCCCTCCCACTTACTCTGTCCATATAGTAAATTTCTGAAGACAGAATCGGAATAAGATTAAAAAACAACAGGTGAAAAAAGCTAATGATTTGGTATTGATTTTCATCACAGAGTTTTTTTATTATATGATACCAAAATATTTAAAAATATGCAGAAGCAATGGGATATTATTAAGATATTAATATAACAATAGTATTAACTATACTAATAATATTTTTAATGGATTTTATAATGATTCTCAGTGAAATTTTTCTATTTGTGTCTCCATTAATTTTAGGGTATTTGATTTAGAGTCTGTTAAAGCCTCTAAAGGAGTCTGTAAACAATTACAAGTGTTGAAAAATTGTTAGTTGCTCAGACATATCTGATTGTTTGCAACCCCGTGGCTCCTCTGGTGGCTCCTTAGCCCACCAGGCTCCTCTATCCATGGAATTCTTCAGGCAGGAACACTGGAGTGGGCAGCCATTATCGCCTCTAGACTCAGGGATCAAACCTGATCTCCTGCATTGCAGGCAGACTGTTTACCATCCGAGCCATCAGGGGTGTGCCACAAGTACTGGTACACGTGTTATGTTAAACTACAGTGCTGCATGTTGTGTTGCTGTTAGAGATGTGATTTTTCTCTAATGGTGAATGGTTTCTGTTAAAATTCTAAAGAAAACTAAATATAATCTTTGACTTATACAGTAGTATTTTTAGAAAGTCTATGACAATACTTTGTATTTATATGTAAAGCACAATTATTGGATTTTCATTTGTTAGAGTCTAACAGGATAATAGAAAGTTGTGTGAGATGTAAGTGAGATTATTTGGCATACTGCATGATTTCTGGTGTCTTTTGACCCTGTCCACTAAATGTAGTTGTGGCCCCTAATTATTAAAATGATTCCTCTAAAAAACCTTTCCTAAACACTAAAAATCATTGCTTTAAGGTATTTTCCCCCAAATTTACTTGATGGATTCTTTCTTATACCCCCTTGTAACCCTTGATCTTCTGCAGAATGTTCTTTTGGGAATACTACTCTAGATAGGTCTGTTTATCTATTCCCTATATAGTTTTAAGTCCTAGCCTTCTCAATTTTGCATCCTTTTGTTTTAAATCTGTTCAGGAATAAATATGTATAAATCCTAAGGACCTGCATTTAGAACTTTTTGTATAATCAGAATGTGTGAAACATTTATTAATTTTGATGCTGTTTTAGGTTGGATCCTTGGAACAAGCTATGCTTGACGCTCTTGTAATGGATAGAGTTGCATTTGTAAAACTTCTTATTGAAAATGGAGTAAGCATGCATAAATTCCTTACCATTCCTAGACTGGAAGAACTTTACAACACTGTAAGTGTATGTTAAATTTCTTTGTGGACTAAGTTCTATCGTCTTTGAAAAGTGTCATTTTTACTTGAATATATGCATTCCTATTGGTAAAACCTTTAATATTTTGCTAGATTACATGAAAAATTATACCCAGTTTTTGTATAGATTGTTTATGACAGTCTGAAGCCCTTTCCCTGTTTCTGGAGACCTCCTCTGTTACCATAGCTATATAGGAAAGAGTTGTAGTGTTAACAACCCTTTCTTTCACCTCACCCCCCTTTTAAAACTTGTAAGATCAACTTCTAAATCATAGAGCCATTGTATTTCTTCTATTTCTTGGTGGTCATTTGTTACACCAGATTTCTTTTCGTTGACTAATGGAGAAATTACACATTGTTTTCTTCATGTCTCCTTTTTGTTTCTGTTTATGATTTTGACCTTGTGGTATCTACTGTTAGCTTACATACTGTTTTTCATTTTTTTCTTTTAAAGAGCTCCTGAAAACTAATTAACTCCCTTTACAAAGCTTTTCTCATTATGTTTCAAATTTCATGTAACTAACATTCGGAGGTAAATAACTACTCTTCCTAACGATTTTTCATTACCATAGCGCTATACCTTGAGGAGTACTATGACCAAATCCTAGCTGGCTAACTTTTACTTCTCTGCTAAACTATTTCCCTTTATTCATCAGTTTCTACCTCTTTATCTCTACCTTTGCATTCTTAATGTCTTTGTACTATTCAATCATTTCTAGCCTTTACTACTTCAGTAATCTAATCTCCTTGTCTATCTGCAAATCTTTAACCCAAATATTCTTATGGTCACATATTTTATCATAGTTTTCTCAGTTTAAAAACTTGTGATGGCTCCCCGATATGTATAAAATAATACGCAAGCCTTTAGACTAATTTTCAAAGCTCTCTGGCTTTTGAAATTTTGCCTCAGCTATTTCTGTCACTCAGCCTTTCAATTCCTATCTCCCATCTTCCTATAGAGTGGCTGTTTGAACTACATCATCTACCTACTATTTTCCTCAAATATAAGCTTTTTTAGAAAGCATTTGCTATTTACACAGTGCTGGTCTGCATTTTTCTTCCAAAGTACTTACCCAGTTACTGGATTTTATTCATTGTCTAAACTTATTTCAAATGCCAAGGCATTGGTATAGTAAACCCCAATATCATAGTTTGTTAAATACAATTGTATCTTCTACTGTGGACCGTAAATTTCCTTTGAGTAGAGATTATATCTTTTTTTCCCCCCTATTTTTTTCCTTTAATAGTGTCTAGCACAGTCAAACTGAACTTCGTTGGCATTCTACTGTCTCTAGTGAACAGATGTAGTATTAAATGGATTATTGTGCTGAATTAAGGTTTATTCCTGAAATGTAAAGCAAGTATAAAACAGTAAAAATAAAAATTGATCCAATTAGCAAAGCAAGTAATATTTTAAGACTGTAACTCAGAGTTATTAAGATAATAATTAACTTTCAGCATCAATTATTGATAAAATTATTTAGTTTACGGGATTATGTATATCATGATAAAGCAGTGGTTCTCAAACTTTTTGGTATCAGGGTCCTATTATATAAAAATGGAAAAGTAAATTGAATTGATTACTAATAACCTTATAAAAATTAACTATAACAGAAAATTTTCATTTGAAAAATTTGGTGGGAGAAAATTTTTATTTGATATTTCTTTTAAACATCAGATTTAAAGTATTGACAGTAAGTCTCTTGATTTATGCTGCAGGGAATTAATTGCAGTAAATTTTATATAGATGAGGACATTTCTAAAAAGTTTAGAAGAATATATTTTTGGTCCTTTTATCTCAGTCTTGATGAGAGAGATATAGTAGGTAGTTTTTCAAAATATAGGTTACCCTCAAAAAAAGATTGTGTAAAAATGAAACATGTTTAGTCTACTGTAATATTTCATTTAAATAGAATTAAGATATAGGGAAAAGACAGCATATATAAATGTTAAAGCTTTCTTACCCCAAATATTTAATATATTGCTGAAACTGGATTAATGACAGAAACAGAGATGGACATTTTAACAAGAGGAAAGAGAATGTATGCTTCTACTATCAGTGAAATATAAATTAAATTTAACATATAATTGTGAAGCTTGCAGTGTTTGCATGACTTTTAGAAAACAAAAGCTTTTGTGTTTTTGCGTAAATAAATGTAAGAACATAAGAAATTTTACATCCTATTTAAGGTAAATATGACAGTGTGAAATGGGTACAGAATTCTATAACAGAATTTCTATAACAAAAACAGTGTAATTTGTGTAAGAACAGAAGTCCTATAAGTAACAAAAAAGTTATTTTAGAAGAAAAATAATAGTTTGCTCTGATTTTTTTCTCGTTAAAGAAACAAGGCCCAACTAATCCAATGCTATTTCATCTTGTTCGAGATGTCAAGCAGGTAAGGGATTATTTTTGTTCTGAAAAGTGTTATTTTAAAATCATTTATACTTCATTTGTTTCTAAAAACATTTCTATACATCTTAAAATCAGCAATAAGATCACATTTTTTTTAAGATCAAAATAAAATAAGAGATAAATTAGTGATAATATAGGTGTAGAGAACATAACATATTAGGAATCAAGAAAAATAAAGTCTATGAAATTAAGACCTGAGCTTCTGGTCATCCGGGATAGAGTATGATGAACTTCATAATGCTCATTTTTCCATAAAGGATGATCATTGATAGGATGTATCTTCTTTCTCTGTGTTCAGAAGAAATTTGTTCCCTGGATGTTTAAAGGACATTGAATAAAGGCATTGAGAGAAACACTGATTGGTGATCTTCAGTGGCAGATTTGCCAATAAAAAGGCTGAAAATGCTCTCTATCTTTCTCCCTATATCTGTCATCGTCCGTCCTCCAACTCCACCTCACCCCCGCCTACTGCCGCCATCTCTCCTCCTTTCTCACGCTCCCCTTTTTATATTCAGTATTGGTAGTAATTGCATATGTAACGCTGTTGTATGATCTAAAGCCATTCTGTGGTGACTAAATTTGATACACTGATATTTCTCTTCTACTGGATTCTCTGTGAGTTACTAGTTTTAAGCATTTATTTTTAAAATCTATAACAATTTAAACTATTGATGTCCAACAGTTATATTTCACTGGATGAAAAAGTACTTGTATTTAGTTAATTGAATTATTTTTAAAGCTTTTTCATGAAAATGCTTTCTTTCCAAAGTTCTTCACTTTTTGCTTGCTGATAAGGGTGAGTGTACTATTAAACAGTTGAAAACTGGATAGAAGTGTCATTTTCTGTGTTGTGTAACATATCTAATAAAACAGATGTTTCATAGAAAGAACTTTTAACTTAAAATGTTTTACTTTAATTCATTTTTCCCCACATGCTTATCTTTATAGTTTTAATGAAATGTGTTTCACATACCATAAAATTCATCCACTTAAAGTGTATAGTTCAGTGACTTCTGTATTCAGGGTAGTGCCATCTTTACCACAGTTTTAAGAGTATTTGCAGTAGTCCCCTAAAGTAACTTCATATCCATTAGCAGTCTCTCCTCATTCCTGTTCCTTCTTTGCTCCTTACTTCTGACTTCACCCTATACCATTGTTAATCTCCTTGCCCTCTCTATGGATTTTCCTATTCTGGACATTTCACACTAATTTTTGTTTTTTTAAGTCATTAAAGCTTCTTTTTTATTCTACCTGGAAAGCCTAAGTAATTGGGGAGACCTTCAATCCAGGGATTTCTTAAACACATTTGCACTATGATTTACTTAGGTGGTTTAGCAGAGCTATAGTTGTTAATTCTGGAAATCTCACATATGAGATTTGTTATGTTAACTACTTTTATATTGATGACTATAATAATTAGCCCAATTTTTCTACTTCCATAAGTGAAAAATCCTAAAGTACTAGCAGTAACTGAGTATATTCTGATTCAAAATAATTTTTATAAGAGCTGTTTGTATAGTTTGAAAAATTGATTTTCTTATTTTTTTAGGTAACATTATTTTCCTTAATTTATTAAAAATATTTATTTTATTTGTTTGGCTGTTTTGGGTCTTAGTTGTAGCATGTGGTATCTTCATTGCACTGTGAGAGATATTTCACTGTGGCAAGTGGACTGTAATTGTGAAACATGGACTTAGTTGCTCTGTGGCATGAAGGATCTTAGTTCCCTGATGAGGGATTGAACTACATCCCCTGCATTGCAAGGCAGATTCTTAACCCTGGACCACCAGTGAAATCCCTGTTTTTCCTAGTTTAAATATTTCCTATTCAAGTGTATTTATAATGTAAGGATATTTGTCAGATTAAAAAAAAAACAAAACTACAGTATGTATCATACATGACATCTTCAGTCATAAAACATATTTTGAGATTGCTTAAGATAAAATAAAAACAAAAATCTTGTACTTAAGGTGAAAATGTGTTTTTATTAGTTTTTAAATTGGTGACCTAAAGAACATAGATGTCTAGAAATTAGAAACTTCACAGATGTAGCTAAAATGTAAAAAGTATAAGCATTTTAAAAAGTACTAAGTTCATAAAATTATAATTAGGGAAATGAAAGAATGTTGAATATCTTTGGGCAGAATTGGTTAATATATATATAAATTAACTGATGATTAAACCCTTTTAAGATTATTTAATGAAATTCACCAATACTTCTTTCTGAGACAGTCTTTCCAAACTGGAAAATGGCTTATGTTCCAATTTGTAAATTGATGCCCTAGAAAGATGGCTTTGCTCTGAACAGTGTTGTAAGTGGTAGTTAAATTTTAGTCAACGCTATACAAATTTGTGTAATCTATAATATAGCCAATATAATTTTGGTTTAAAAACAGTAATAAGTATTAATGGTCTCAACTGAAAACATTTATAGCATTATTTTTGCAGGAAAGTACAACTTATGTGCCATGGTGAGGTGGAATACTTGGCACTTAGAGCTTTCTTTGCCTCTTTGTGAAGTATTAGTACAGTGGAGAGATCAAATTATCTTTTTAAAATATAAATTTATTTATTTTAATTGGAGGCTAATTACTTTACAATGTTGTATTGGTGTTGCTGTACACTGACATTAATCCGCCACAGGTGTACATGTGTTCCCCATCCTGAGCCCCTCTCCCACCTCCCTTAAATTATCTTCCTACTGTAAGTCATACTCTTGCCCTGAGCCACACTGTTGGGACCTCAAATTTCAGAATCCCTGTTCTTACAAAAGCAAACAGAAGTAAGTCACTTTTTTCTGTGAAGGTAGCTGCTGGCAACTCCAGCTTTCCTGTAGCAAGTAAACATTTGTTATTTTGGAGAATAATAGGCATGGCTTGGAAACATTGAGAAATACAATTTTGAGAAATACAATTTTGCCTTTTTAAAACTAATGTTTTGTTTCCAGGGGAATCTTCCTCCAGGATATAAGATCACTCTAATTGATATAGGACTTGTTATTGAATATCTTATGGGAGGAACCTATAGATGCACCTACACTCGGAAACGTTTTCGATTAATATATAATAGTCTTGGTGGAAATAATCGGGTATGTAATATTTGGGGGAAGTCTATAGATATGCTTTAAAGTGAGCTTATAAATATTAACTCAGAATGGTAAAAGTATTGATAGAATTGTCTTAAAAACAAGATTTTTCAACTAAGAGTACTTAGAAATATTTCATAATTGAAATCCTAGAGAAATCATGTTGGGTTTTTTTTTAATTGGTGTGTGTACACACACATTTATATAAACACATATATGTAAAAATTGATTTTTAATTTTTATAGCATAACAGTGTATTTAAATCTGTAAAAACTAATAAACTTTTGCTTTCAGAGGTCTGGCCGAAATACCTCCAGCAGTACTCCTCAATTGCGAAAGAGTCAGGAATCTTTTGGCAATAGAGCAGATAAAAAGGAAAAAACTAGGCATAATCATTTCATTAAAACAGCACAGCCCTACCGACCAAAGGTATTTTTGTTTAAATATTACCTATTCTGGCTTTTGGATTTTATTCTTTTTAAGTTACTTGGTATTATGAAACAAAAACATTACTTGTTTTAGTAAGAATTATCTTTTTGTTTTTAGATATAGTATTAAAGCCTCAATTTTCCTATATACCAAAAAAATAATATGAGGTAATAATTCTATTAAGTTTTTCATATTTAGCTATGATAATCAAAATTTTTAGATATTTTGGTCAATGCCTAATTGCCTTCTTTTCTTCCAAATTTACTTGATTAACAGTAGGCAAGACAAAGTGGTACCAGACTTTTCGTTTATTAGAACTGTTTTATCAGATGTTAGTGGAAATACTGAGGCTCTTTCTCTCATCTTGGAAAACTTCTACAAAGACATTTTTGGGGACTAACATTTCTATAAAATGGATTTGAATTGTAATAAAAATCAAATATATAAAATTTATTCTATTTTCATTTGTACATTTATATGAAAAATCAAATAAAGGACATTTTATTAAAATTCTCACATGAGTGTCATATGGCCTTATTTTAATGAGCCTTGTAATATTTATTTCCTCTTGAAGATTGATACAGCTGTGGAAGAAGGAAAGAAGAAAAGAACCAAAGATGAGATTGTAGATATTGATGATCCAGAAACCAAGCGCTTTCCTTATCCACTTAATGAACTATTAATTTGGGCTTGCCTCATGAAGAGGCAGGTCATGGCCCGTTTTTTATGGCAGCATGGTGAAGAATCAATGGCTAAAGCATTAGTTGCCTGTAAGATCTATCGTTCAATGGCATATGAAGCAAAACAGAGTGACCTTGTAGATGATACTTCAGAAGAGTTGAAACAATATTCCAAGTAAGTTATATTTTATCATTTGAAACATTTAAAAAATACAAAAGTTTAAGTGGAGATTATAGTGCCATGCACTAATTGGGTATGTGTATATATAATTTTATTGGTAAAATTAGGAGAAATCCACTTCTAAGTCTTTAAGTCTTTTTTAAAAAAATTCAGAGACCTAGGCATGTAAAAAAGAGGTTATTATATCATTTACAATTCAAGAGTTAAATATTTAGCAAGAAAGAAGAAATGCCAGAAGTCAGTTTACTAATTAGTTGCACATAATAACAATTAGCAATTGTTACATAATAGCAATTAGATTAGGTAAACTTCCATTTGAAGTGGTAGAGTAAAGAAGGAAGGAAAGTAAGCTGTTTTCTAAGGAAATAAATTCAGTTCAACTGGAAAGGCATTTCATATGGTAGAGCCACATGTGTAGAAAACAATTCACAGAAGTTTTACAGTTTACTTAGGGGAGTAATGGAATATTAAGCTGGAACGGTAGTTTGTATTGATAGAAAGCTTTATAATAGAGAATAGGACCTCCCTCCCCCCAAATGCGCTCTCTTTGGAAGAGAAATAGGAGTTATTATGAAAATAGCTAAAACAGAGATCCTGTGATCAACTCACCAGGGATTTAAGATTAGGATATTTTTCATACTAGGTTAGGCCATATTGACATTCTTTTTCTCTATTGCTGCTGCTGCTAAGTCGCTTCAGTCATGTCTGACTCTTTGCGACCCCATAGATAGGCAGCCCACCAGGCTCCCTCATCCCTGGGATTCTCCAGGCAAGAGTACTGGAGTGGGGTGCCATTGCCTTCTTTTTTCTCTATGGGGTACCAACCTTTTCTACTATTTGAAATATTATATAGCGACTTTTTGAACAAGAGCATCTGAACATTGTCAGTTTTGGTTTCCTGTAAGTCTATAGGTTTATTTCTGTGACCAGGGGAAAGTGCTCTGGAGTCACATTTGCAGTCTCGTTCCTGATGTGACATATTTTAATACTTTGTAATTTCCATAGAGTAGTAGATATCTGAAAACATAGGGCTATTCTGATGCCTCACAATTCCCGAAGTGTGTCTGAAAATATTAAAAAATTGGAACATGTTATGAATGACCCTGAAGATAATGGTTTAAAACTGCAGTTTGGTAATTTGAATATGTTTTGGCTTTTATCTTTTGATAGTGATTTTGGTCAACTGGCAGTTGAATTACTGGAACAATCCTTCAGACAAGATGAAACCATGGCTATGAAATTGCTCACTTATGAACTGAAAAATTGGAGTAATTCTACCTGTCTTAAGTTAGCAGTTTCTTCAAGACTTAGACCTTTTGTAGCCCACACCTGTACACAGATGTTGTTATCTGATATGTGGATGGGAAGGCTGAATATGAGGAAAAATTCCTGGTACAAGGTATACTTTCGAAATAATTTAGTATTAAGTATGTGATTAGATAAAAAGAACAGGAATTAGCCCACCAGTAGAGCAAAATGTAAGGGCAGTAAGAGTTGTGGTTTGGCATTTTTATCGTAAGTGGCATTAAATGACCTCTTTTCTCCCCCTTCACTCTGAATTCTTTTCAGATGTGGTGTATAATGATTATTTTCCCAGTTTGAACCAGATGCATGATTGCAACAAATGGGAATGGGAGTATTGGCATTTATATAGCCCTGTGCAGCCATGAAAAAAAGTTGCTGTTTTATGTAAAGATGATTCCTAGATTGTAAAATTCTAGATCCTGGCCCATATCTACTAACTTAATAATCTGTTACTTTTAATTTTTACTTCACGTATATTAGATCTGCTTGGTTTTTATGGTTAAAAATTTGGGTAAAATATTAACTGGTACTCTCAGGTTCATTATAGTGGGAGATTTTGCTTTAAACTTTCCTTTTTGTCATGTCTTAAATAAGGCATGGAAATATGGAAGGCAGAGATCATGCAAGTAGTTTAATCACAGATCATTATAAGTGGATAATAAATACTAATCATACACTAAAAATAATGGTGAAAGATTAACCTTGATATACAGTTATCATAGAAAACCCTGATACACAATTATAATTTCTTTGTGCTTTTAAGATTTTGCAAATAATACATAGAAGTTTAGAAATAAACCTTTTTGTTTATAGGAAACAACTTGAGTAAATCACGTTATGACATGGAACACTTGCAGAGAGATTTAGGGTAAAATTAAGCACATAGCAATTTCATAAGGCTTGAATTTTGTTTATAACAAAAATGTATTCTCTGAACAAATTGTAATCTGATTTTTTAATGGGACAAGTCTATAATAATTACTGAATTTTTTCTATACCCTTGTAATACTCAAATGTTTTATTATTCCTTAAAGCAGTTCAACTTGGGCCTATAAGTGAAAAGTGAAGTGTTTTTTTTACCTATACTACCAGGGGCAAAATAGCTAACTAATAACCTGGATTTTTATACCTTTTTATTGCTTTTATTATATTCTTGAAAGTCAGTAGTTTTAAAATGTGAACTTATCTGTTTCTGAAATTTTTAGGTCATACTAAGCATTTTAGTTCCACCTGCCATATTAATGTTAGAATATAAAACTAAGGCTGAAATGTCTCATATTCCACAATCTCAAGATGCTCATCAAATGACAATGGAAGATAGTGAAAACAACTTTCAAAACATAGCAGAAGAGATTCCCATGGTAAGGAGGGAAAAAAATTTAAAGTAAATGTAAATTTATTGTGAGAAATGTACCATAAATGTTATTTTTATTTTAGGAAGTATTTAAAGAAGTAAGACTATTGGACAAGAATGAAGGGAAGAATGAAATGGAGATACAAATAAAATCAAAAAAGCTTCCAATCACACGAAAGTTTTATGCCTTTTATCATGCACCAATTGTAAAATTCTGGTTTAACACGGTATGGTTCTTTTTATTGAAGTATAATTGACGTACAGTAGTATATGTTACAAATGTATAATATATCAATTCACAATATGATCCATGTATAGTTATAAAATACTGGCTGTATGTCCCATGTTGTACAGGATATGCTTGTAGCATATTTCCTTTTTTGTAGCTCATCTTACACCTAATGGTTTGTGCCTCGTATTCCCCTGCCTTTATGTTGCCCCCTCCCTGTTCTCTCTGCCCACTGGTATCTACTAGTTTGTTCTCTGTAGCTGTGAGTCTGCTGCTTTTTTGTTAAATTCACTAGTTTGTTGTATTTTTTGGATCCCACATATAAGTAATATCATGCAGTTTTTGTTTTTCTGTGTCTGACTTATTTCATTTAACATAATCCTAAGTCCATGTTGCTGCAAATGGCAAAATTTTCGTTCTTTTTTATGGCTGAATAGCATTCCATTGTATATATTTACTACATCTTTGACCATTCATCCGTTGATGGACACTTAGGTTGATTCCATATCTTTGTAGTTGTAGATATGCTGCTATGAACATGGGGTGTATGTATCTTTCTGAATTAGTAACATGGTATGGTTTAAAGTAGTAGAGCAAAATAGATTTTTTTTAACACATTAAAAATCATTCAGTTTTATTAATATATATTTAATTCACACATGGTCTTAGTAAACCTTTAACAATTCACCTATGATCCTTTTCTCAAAATATAGTTTATAGAAATTCAGAAGAATTCTTCTAATAGACTGATATGAGAATTGTGATTTTTATGGTTATAGAAAAAAGGCTAGTTATTTGGTAAATGTGGATATACAGTAATTTTATAACCTCTTGTGGAATGGTTACCTATATTTTTCTTAGTTTTCAATGAAGATGTATTTGTTTCAAACATGTCAACAAATATTTATGACTTCTGTTGATTTAGTGAATGCTTATCAGGATTTTAATGAACTACCATCTTTTTATCTTTAAAAGCAAATGGACACAGCTACTTAAATTTAGAGTGATTCTCTTTCTTTAGTACAAAGAGTAAGTCCCTGAACACTGAACTAATAGTCATCTATAAGAATGATTTAAATCAACAACAAATGTCATCTCCATTTAGATTTTCATTATACATTTTACCTTACAGTCTTTAAACATACATGGAGTAGTGAAAATAAATGATTGCCACCTAATATATAACTTCTTTTATCTCTGAGGCATCAACAGTCAAACACATAAATTTACATTCACACTAGAAAGAAAGGCATATCATGTAATTTGGGAGTTATATTACTTTCAAATAACCTCAAATAGTACTAGTATAAAAAAGATGCTGATAATAGTTATACCTGTCTCAGCATCAATACCAACAATAAATTGGATCAATATCTGTGATCAGTACCAACAAATAAGTTTTACAGGTGCTTTAACTTTAGATTATTTTCTATAGTATTCTCATTTAGAGCAGTGCTAGAAAAGTTATTGATTTTAATGCTTTCTACTGTGTTTGCTGATATTTATTTAGATTTGATTTTTGATTGAGTACTTTTACATTTTCTTCATCTTTCAAGTTTCTTTCCACTATGAACTCTTCGGCTGTTTTCTGAAGTATATACTTAGGACTAAGGTCTTTCATCACTTACTACTTTTGTAGGGTTTCTGTGATTTTGAGTGAGGTAACAGCTTTGCTTAAAGGCTTTATCACATTCTCTGCATTTGTACAGTTTTTTCCTACTATGTTTTTTTTTCCTACTTTTCTATGAATTTTATGATTTTTTTGTGAGCCAGTTAAAGGCTTTGCCACATTCTTTACATTGGTGAGGTTTCTTCCAGTATGAGTTCTTTGATGCTGAGTAAGATATGGATGCTGATCAAAGACTCTGCAACATTCTGTACTTTCATAAGGCTTCTCTGCAGTATGAATTATCTGATGCTGCTTAAGATTTGAGCACTGGGTAAAGGCTTTGCCATATTCTTAACATATGTATGGTTTCTCCCCAGTATGAATTATCTGATGTCTAGTAAGTTCTGAGCACCGTATAAAGGCTATGCCACATTCTTTACATTTAAAAGTTTTCCTCTAGTGTGAATTTTCCTGTGTCTACTTGGATTTTTTATAAAGACTTTCCCAGATTTATTACACTTATAATGTTCCTCTGTAGTATGAACAATTAATTAAAACCTTTATCACATTGACTACATTTGTAAGTCTTCTCTCCATATGAATCCTCTTATATGTAGTAATATTGAGCTTTGATAAAAGGCATTTTTATATTTATTACTTTTAGAATGGTTTTCTGAAAATTCAGTTCCCTGATGTTTCATAAGGTTTGAGTCTTGGTCAAAGTTATTGTCTGATTTACTGCAAGGATTGCTTGTCATTCCATTATAAATGCTGTTGTATTGAATAACAGAGCTCTTGCTTAAGATCTTACACAATTTATTACAGTTTAAATTTCCAAGTTGACAGCTTTCATGTTTTCCCAGTAGCATTTTTTTGAAACAAATCTTCCACGCCTAGTTTTTTGGTCATCAGAACCTGGGTGTCATAATAAAACAAAGCTGGATATGTGGGCTGTTGTCTCTATTCTCTTCACATTCTAGAGATCCTTCTTTTGTGCACAAAAGGTGAACACATGTCTGGCTGACAGTAAGACCCAAGGAGACCAGGTCCCAGTAGTTCCTTAACATCACGTCCTGTATAATTCCCAGTGATCAAAGTCCAGGCATTCCCACTCTTGAGAGAAATCAATAGCCACATCCTAAATGTCAGCAGTCCCCGAGAAGCCGCCATTTGCTCCTCTTCCTCCTGCTCTGTGTTGTTTTCTCATCAGTATCATATTGAGGAATCACATCAGCATCTTGAGAGTGTACCTTCAAAGGGGTCTGTACTTCTCCCTCACTGGCTCCTCCCACACCACAGCCAGACTTTCAAAGCTGACTTTGAAATGCTGCGAAGGCCAACCTCTCCAGTCCTTTGTCAGGAGAGATTCAGGAGTTTGGGTTTTGGGGGGTGTGAACCAAGCATGGCCCTTCAGTAAACCTTTCTCTGCTCCAAATTCTCCTGTTTAGGTATTGTTTGGCTGGGAATGTGGCTGCAGTGGGTACCACTCTGCCCAGTTGGGGGCACCCTCTCCAGGACTCCTACCTGCCTTGGGGTGGGGCAGTGCATTCTCCTCCCAGCTGTTCCCTCCAAGGTGCCCCCTGCTCCCTCCCTGAGACTGAGGGTAGAGCAGCACTGCCCGCACCACCCAGAATGGAGCCCAGGTCTCCTTGGAGCCAGCAAAATGTTTTAAAGGAGAGGCTTTAAGGGTACCTTTGGTTTAGAGTCCATACTAATCTTGATATAACTTAGATCCCTGGAAAGCCATTTTCCAGTTGATAACTTATGATACAAATATAATTTCCTTGTGCTTTGGGACTTTGTAGATAATATTACAATTTTAGAAGTAAACCTTTTTACAGTGTTAGTTCATGGTGCTACAGGTAATCTAGATCATACAGTTTTATTTTTCAGTGGTATAATAGCTTATTTCTTTCCCTGTAGTACACATTTGGTTATCTGTCACATAATTGGTTTTTTCCTTGCCAGTAGAAAGATAGATTTTCCTACCAGCTTAAAGAGCATCCATATCAGTAGAGTAATGGATTCTATCTGAGAAATGAAACATATAAGATTGGTTACTTTTATCCAGGGGCTGAGTAACTCAGTTTTTACTTCTCTTACCAAGAAAAATTTTCAGTTGTTTTTGATTTTGTTGTCATGTTTTTGGGTTTCATTTTCATTGTTGTCAGGCTTTTTTTGAGTTGCCAAAGTAGGCAAATGGTTTTATGCTGAGATGAACATTTGAGAATTTGTTTCTTTGATCAGTGCTTTGTCACCCACACACAGGCCCATTAATCTAAGACTAATTCTGTATGTTTCCTTCTCAGTATGAAAAATTTCTTGCTCCATCTTGTTCTGGTATTAAAATTACAAATTTGAATTATCTAATATAATCCCCAAATTCTGTCTCCACTGATGGAAATAACATAGGTGTCATATGAATGACTAAAAGTGGACAATTCATGTGACTATAGGAATTTCTTTTTTTCTTTACTTACTGCATTTTACTTCCCTTCCCTGCCATAGCTTAAATCAAAGATATGACTTATTTTAAGACTTGTAGAGGCAAGGAAAGTGATGAGAAAATTCTCAGCCACAATTGTTCAGGGGTCAAAGAATCTGGGTTTTCCTCTGAAATTAAATGAAATGATTCTTCGAAAATTATTTTACATTGTTCCTTACTGTCTCCTTATAATTTTTCTTGATAAGAGTCTGAAAGGTGGGATGTTCTTTTACCTAGGAAGACTGTTTTTCATTTTTGTTTCCATTTCTTGGGATTCAGCCTCTGTGACCAGGAGCTAAGAAAATACCAGTTGTCTTTCTTATGAGTACTACTTGGTTGGGAGAAGGAGGAGCCAGGTAGTATGCTTTTCTGAATGACAGTGATGAAGTTCTATAGTAAATTTAAAATGTTATGGTACTTTAGGTATAAGTGAAATTATGTGGACTATGCTGAGAACATAAACCTGGTATTATAAAATTCTTCCTGTGGGAAGTACTAAAAAGTTAACTAAAGTCTAGAATAATACATTTGTACCTTGGGGACCATTTATAAATGATTGGTTGATAAATGCAATGTCTGCATGGAAAAAGAGTTACCTCTGAAACTTTTCTAATTATTAAAGCTGGGAGATACTTCACAGGGACTAGTTTAGTCTCTCTTTGTGTGTATGTTTAGAAATGTTCATAGTAAGTTACATTTTATAATCAATTTTATTCGTATCTTTTTTTTTTTTTTACTAGCTGGCATACTTAGGATTTCTGATGCTTTATACATTTGTGGTTCTTGTACAAATGGAACGATTACCTTCAGTCCAAGAATGGATTGTTATTGCTTATATTTTTACCTATGCTATTGAGAAAGTCCGTGAGGTATGTCTTTAGTTTTTCCTACCAGTAACTTAGTTTGTAGTTGGAGGGTGTTTTGTTTGTTTCAGTTATGTGTATGGGTATGTGTAGGTGTTATTCATAATTTCAGTAGGTGATGATATTATTAAAGTGCAAAATGTTTGGTTTTGCTTTTCTAAAAGTGATGATCAAAGAATAGAGATTAGTATGTTGTTAACTTTGTCCTAATTACAAAGATAGTGATTGTCTCAAAAAGTAGACTTGCTTTTTATTTCAACATTCATATTTATGATCTTTGCCACTCTCAAAAAGTTTTAAATATACTAGCCAATCAGGTAGGTAAATTATAAGTAGTTTATTATTTTACACTCCTCTAAAGTATCCTGTGGACTTCCCAGGTGGCACAGTGGTAAAGAATTCTCCTGCCAGTGCAGGGTTGGGAAGATTCCCGGGAGTAGGAAATGGTAGCCTACTCGAGTATTCTTGCCTGGAAAATTCCATGGACAGAGGAGCCTGGTGGGGTACACAGCCCATGGAGTCACAAAGAGTCAGTTTGAGCGACTGAGCAAAGTGTACTATATTGTCCATTGAATTGTCATTTAGATTTAGATCCCTGTGTCTATCAGAGTTTTCAGTGTAAAATTGTAAATTTTCTAATACTCTGACTTTGGGGGGGGGGGAGTTCTAAAAATCTCTTACAACTTTCTGTCTAAACTGATACCTACATATATGTTGTTTTATAACGCACTTATTTAAATACATCAGAATTATTTCATGTCTCTGTGCTTTACATTTAGAGAATATATGAAATTGCAAAAATAGAAGGCATTGTACTTCCCTCCCACTTAGGTATTGTAGGACTTTATCTTATTATCTTATTAAATAACTTACTATGCATTTTAAATTCCTTTGAGTGCCATGGACACTATATTTATGAAACATATTGTTTTACTAATATGTTTAAAGGAATTAAGTTGTTAAATGGTAAAAGCAAGTTGCAAACAATTATTTTAAATGTATATTCGTAAAACAGCTCTGCAAGAATTCATTAGATAATAATAAAAGTGGTTGCCTCTAGTGGGAAGGGGAATCAGTTGGCTAGGGGAGAAGAATGGGAGACTTTTCAATATTTATGATTCACTGTGATTTTGAAGTTGTAAATGTATTACCATTTCCCACATAAAAATTTTTTTTAAATTTTACATCAAAGAGAAGAGCTAAGTATAGCAATTTAAACCATTGAGTTGTTTATTTTCTGCAAATAAGGCACTTTTGGAAGATCCTGGTTGAATGTCCTGGTGTTGTTTCAGTGAGAAATAAAACAACTTTTCAAAAGTATCTCACATTCCAAGCCTAGGGATCTTTGTTCTAATCCAGAATTTACAGTGTCATCATTGGATGACCTTGGTTGAATAGGTTATTTATCTGTGGGTCTTTCTTCCCCCTATACATAGAAAATGAGGATAAGAAATATGTCTCTGATATCTTACTGAATTGTTGTGGTGATCAAATACCAAGACAGTCAAAAATACTTTGAAACATTAAAAGATATATAAAATTTTATTGTGTTATTATAATTGAATTCTGGTGTATGTTTTAATAGGAATAAATTGATTATTATTATTTTTTAACCTTTAGATTTTTATGTCTGAAGCTGGAAAAATAAGCCAGAAGATTAAAGTGTGGTTTAGTGATTACTTCAATATCAGTGATACAATTGCCATAATTTCTTTCTTCATTGGATTTGGACTAAGATTTGGAGCAAAATGGAACTTTGAGAATGCATATGATAATCATGTTTTTGTGGCTGGAAGATTAATTTACTGTCTTAACATAATATTTTGGTATGTGCGTTTGCTAGATTTTCTAGCTGTAAATCAACAGGCAGGACCTTATGTAATGATGATTGGAAAAATGGTAAGTTGAGAGGTGTCTGATAATACTCATGGGTTTATTGGTATTTTTTCTTAGAATCATAAAAATGTTACTAATACAGTTTTACTTGAATCAGAGAATAGATAGTTCATGTTTATTTGCCTCATATTCAAAATAAACCATTTCCTAGGATGTTAACTTTTGAAGAAACTGTTTAATAGGGTAAGGTTACAAAATCTTATTTGTTTTATCTTGAAATACTTGAATTTTTAAGTGCTACTTTTAAGTGTTAGGACTATTTGAAAAAAATATAAATTTTGCAGGTCTAATCTATGAATTTGTTTTCATCATTACTGCCACCACACTAATCCAATCTGCCATCATCTGGTACCAGCAATAGTCTAGTAATCTGTTTACTCATAAGCACTCTGGCCTGTCTTCAATCTATATAGTAGCTAGAGTAATATTTCAAAATGCCAGTCTGAATATGTTACTTCTCATTCTTAAAAAAATGTTTTTTTGATGTTTTCCATTACTCCTAGAATCAGTGTACTTAATGAAATGCATAAGCCCTGCCCAGTTTGACTGTTGGTTTCCTTCCTTTCTTCCTCTCTCTCTCCCTTCCTTCCTTCCCTTTAAATTTTGAATAATTACAGATTTACATGCAGTTGTAAGAAATAAGACAGAGCAATTCTGTGTACTCTTTACCTAGTTTCCACCAGTAGTAAGATTTCCTTGCTTTCTTTCTGAACCTTACCCTTAACATTTTTGACCTCTTGCCTGTGCTCTAGTCACATACACCTTTTGTCTTTTTTCTTTAACAGAGCCCCTACCAGAGAACCAAGGATAGCTCTTTTTTTGTGTGTGTATGTAAAATGGTCATCCTCATCTACATTCATATCCTTAGGTTTTTTGAGTAATTAGTTTTATTCTTCAGATCTTGACTCGTAACATTTTTTTTTTCAGGGAGAATTTTTTATATTTTTCAACTGGATGAAGTTTATTAACTGTATAATTTTATGGCACCCATGTTCTTCCCTTCAGAATATTTATCTGTGTCTAACTTTATTTTAAACTACGTTTTTATTGGATTATTTACATTCTCCTCTAGACTTTAAATTCATTGGAGTAGGAACTTTGGTGTTGGTCACCTTTGTATCTATAATACTTATCATAGTTCCTGTCACATAGTAGAATCTCCTTACTAAATATTTGTTGTTTGGATGGATAAAGCCATTTCAAGTAGGAAAAAAACAATGTAAAAATAGTGAACATTAATTGTACTTTAAAAGGTTGGTTCTTAAGATTTTTTTCTTATTTTTATATCCTTAGCAGATTATGCATTTAAAAAACAGTAAAAATTCAACAAGTAGTTTTTAATGTTTATTATATTCTCACTGCTATGCAAGACAGTGCAAAGGTATTAGGATATTGTCCCTGAACTTTGTGAAATCACATTTTTCTTTTTTGACTTTTTGAGTCCTGTCATTATTTTTAACAGTTACATAAATCTAGCTTGAGGAGCCTGTCCTACATAAAGGATTTTAGGAAATACGAGATATTAGTAAACTATCAGTGTGGTTGATTGATTAAGTTAAGGGGATATAGGGATTCATGGAAAGAGAAAACTCTGTGGAGGTTTTTCTTATAAAGCAATGAAATGTGAACTAATCTTCAAAAGCTTGAGATAGATGGGAATAAAAAGGAGCAGCCTGTCTGGAACTTCTTTTGTGGTAAGGTACAGTTTGTTAGCACATTGGATAGAAGAGAGGGCGTAGCTTCGAGTATATAGAACTTTGAAAAGTAGGACTTTAGAGAAGAAAAATACAGGGAAACCATTGAAGAGTTTTTCCCCTAAATTTTGATTTTTCTTTACCATGAAAGTACGGTGACATTTTTCTGTCTTTCCTTATCATTTTGGAGTTACTTTTTCAGTGTGTGGATGTTGAAAACAGGTAAGTCAGGTTGTTTGTTACGATGATTTTTAACCAGAGGGTCAGTCTAAGTCAGGTTGTTTGTTACGATGATTTTTAACCAGAGGGTCAGTCTGAAAAAGTCTTGCAAGGATTTGTCATGCACAACTCCAACTCATCACAGTAATCTTGTCCCTTATTAATGTACTTTGCAAGATAATGGTCACTAAACAAATACCATCATGGTTTATATCTTTAGATAACTCTTTCTTCCTCTCTTTACTGATCTAGACTATTTTTAAAATTTATAACCAGCACGTCTAATCTTTTCCTGATATAATATGCCCACTATTTGCTTTTTCTCATAGGCTTAACCAATTGGCAGATTCTATTTTTTAAATATAGATGTCAGATTTAATGTGCAATTTTTTATGCTTTGAACTGAAAAAATCTAAAATGTGTTGGGCTTACTCTTGTCATAAATAGCTTTCAGATTTTAGTGGTGTAAAAGACAGACTTTGTTATCCTTCTGTTGCTTTTGTGAAAGTAACTTCTTTCTTTGTTCTAAAATTACTATTTAAAATTTTAGCAAGAGCAGACAGACCTACCCTCCAGAGATATTCAGTGTTAACAATTTGATGTAAACCTTTCCATTCTTCAAGACATGTATAGGGAAAAAAAGACATGCATATGACTACATGTGTTTATTTGTGTTAAATTTCACAAATGGGCTTATATATTATGCTTTTTCTCAATTCTTTTAAAATATCTATCCCCTTTATAAAAATCTGTTCCTAGAATTTTTGAAACCTTTTTCCTTAATCTTGGAAGATTGGTCTTCTAGATTAAATTTATCTTCTGAATAACCCTTCTGAGTAATACAGTAGAGGATTACCTGCATTGCTTTGCATTATGAAAACAAAATATTTATGGTTTTTGAATATAGAGTTTTATTATTATATTTGCTTTTTCACACTATTTCCCTCTAGGAGAGTGTATCCAGCTCTCCCTAGTTAAAAATTACTAGTTTACTGTTTGTTACGTTAAAGGAGTACTCACTGTTCAGCATTTTGCATTATTTCATGAAGTGGTGGTGGCTCCAGGAAAAGTAGGGGAGTTAAGATTGTCAGACAGGCTTTACATGAAAAGCTGTGCGGTCCAGAGACCTCTGAGTCATCAGCCAGTACACCTTGTATAGTTTTAGAACATTTCAGGTTTGGGTGTTGATTTCGGCATTTTCTTCAATTACAGATATATATTTGGATTTCAAATTGTAGCAAATGCCATGAATAATGTTTTGATGAATTATTTGCCTTTTAAAATCTTTTATCCCAAGATTTTGTTTATTGAAAGCATACATTCTCTTAGTAGTGCTCTTAAATGGTCAACTAAGATATTATTTAACTGTTTTATAAGTAAAAAAATGGAATCTTGGGAGAATGTATTAGGATTCTTTGATTACAGGTTATAGGGACTCTAACTTAATTTTAAAAGGAAATTTGTTAGCAGATCTAAAAATTTTAAAGCTGATCAAGACTATGATTATACTTAAGTAAATGTTTTATAATTTCTCCATCTATTCTAGATTTACCGTCTCACCTTCCATTTCTACTTTCACTGTATACTTGTTCAAAACATATATGAAAATGTTATAATAACTTATTTTAGGTTGATTTATTACTGCAATTATTGTTAGTTCATAGTAGATTAAAATACAGATTTATTATACATGTAGTCTCCTGAATGGGATTTTCCCCTTAGATTATTTTCTGTGGATGAATATTACTACATATTACTAGAGTGAGACTACATTCACTTTTTTATATGTAAGTGCTGAATACATGTACACATAATCAGTGGATAGAAATTAAAGTTTTCTTATTGCATTTCACTTTATTATTTAAATTCCTGAATAATGATGTCAAAATTCACATTGTGATCTAGCAGTAAAAATTGTTTTTTAATGATGTATTGTGTGATAGCTCAGTTAGGCTCTTTTTAATTTTGTTGAAATTATATAATTGCAAACCACCTGACTTGCAAAAGGGTTTGTTAACCAGATATGGGGATCAGTTCTTTTTTAGACACACATACTGATAATTCAGTTTGTTGTTGTATTTACCTCTTAGAAGGTTTTCACAGCCCAGGAGACAAGGCACCATGATAGAGTTCAGGATGGAAGAACTTTCATGGAAATTGATTCCTTACATCTGCTCATTATGTCTATACTTGTTTACAAGGCTTCATGAACATGAGATAGGCAGACTCCAGTTTGAGCCTATGTTATGGTTCAATATATAGACGATGCCTATGACTTGCCTGATGTCACAGATCAGTTTTTCTATAATTTCTCTTAAGTTCAGGTTTATATAGTGATGAGATTTCCTGAATGCTACTGCTAGGAATAAAAAGAAACTCAAAAGATTCAAATTATCTATTGGAATACTAGAAACTCTTTTTTAAGATGAAGAACTATTTGTGTGTATAAATCGCCATGTATTTTAACAGTGTTCATTTTTTTAACAGGTGGCCAATATGTTCTACATTGTAGTGATTATGGCTCTTGTGTTACTTAGTTTTGGTGTTCCCAGAAAGGCAATACTTTATCCTCGCGAAGCACCTTCTTGGACTCTTGCTAAAGATATAGTTTTTCATCCATACTGGATGATTTTTGGTGAAGTTTATGCCTATGAAATTGATGGTAAGGATTTAATGTGTACGAATTTATCTTATGTTAAAGTCAGAATTGCATTATAGTAATACTGTGTATTTTCACAAATTAAGGTGTCAAAACCTTAGCCTTCTCACAGTACATTAATTAATCTCAGAAGAAACATAAACATTAATTGAAAAAGTATTTTAGATTTTTTTTTTTTAGTTGCAAATAATGGAATTTAGCCTAAACTGGCTTACACAATAAGGACATATATTAACTCACATAACAGAAAGTGCTAGAGTGTCTTTGTGATTGGCTAACCGATAGTTAAGGACACCTGTTCTTTTTCATCCCAGTGCTCTGTAATCAGTGTCTGATTCAAAAAGGGTTTCCTTTACAATTGTAAGACTCTCTCATTAGCAGCAGGAGGAAAGAGACAATGTTTTCCATAGTTCTCTCCAGGGGAAAATGTCCCATTTCCAGGATGCTCCCTATTGAACCTGTATTTTTATCTCATTAGCTCAAATTGGCTTCAGATTACCTATGTCTAAACAAGGCAAGCATAATGGAATTGACTAGTTGATTGTATCAATATATACTATGGAATTTTAAAATTCACGTTTCAATACATTCTCTGCATAAGGTTATTCTATTATTTTAAAGAGGCAAGTGGGCCTTAGGAAGTATTACTATGAACAAAGCTAGTGAAGGTGATGAAATTCCAGCTGAGCTAGTTCAAATCCTAAAAGATGATGCTGTTAAAGTGCTGCAGTCAGTATGCCAGCAAATTTGGAAAACTTGGCAGTGGCCACAAGACTAGAAAAGTCATTCCAGTCCCACAGATGGGCACCTGCCAAAGAAAGTTCAAAATAGCACACAGTTGCACTTATGTCATGCTTGCAAGGTAGTGCTCAAATCCTTCAAGCTAGGCTTCAACAGTATGTGAACCAAGAACTTGCAGATGTACAAGCTGTATTTAGAAAAGGCAGAGAAACTAGAGATCAAATTGCCAACATCTGTTGGGTCATAGAAAAAGCAACAGAATTCCAGAAAAACATCTTGACTATGCTAAACCCTTTGGCTCTGTGGACCACAACAAAATGGAAAATTCTTAAAGAGATGGGAATACCAGACCACCTTACCTGCCTCCTGAGAAATCTGTATGCAGGTCAAGAAGGAGCAGTTAGAACTGGACATGGAACAACAGACTGGTTCAAGATTTGGAAAGGGATGCATCAAGGCTGTATATTGTCACCCAGCTTATTTAATTTATATGCAGAATACATCATGTGAAATGCCGGACTGGATGAAGCACAAGCTGGAATCAAGATTGCTGGGAAAAACATCAGTAACCTCAGATATGCAGATGACACCACCCTAAAGACAGAAAGCTAAGAGGAACTAAAGAACCTCTTGATGGAGGGTGAAAGAGAAGAATGAAAAAGCTGGCTTAAAACTCAACATTCAAAAAACTAAGATCAGGGTATCCAGTCCCATCACTTCATGGCAAATATATGGGGAAACAATGGAAACGGTGACAGGCTATTTTCTTGGGCTCCAAAATCGCTGCAGACAGTGACTGTAGCCATGAAATTAAAAGATGCTTGCTTCTTGAAGGAAAAGCTACAGTGAACCTAGACAGCGAATTGAAAAGCAGAGACATCATTTTGCAGACAAAGGTTAAAGGTCCGTGTAGTTAAAGCTATCATTTTTCCAGTGCTGATGTACAGGTATGAGGGTTGGACCCTAAGAAAGGCTAAGTGCTGAAGAATTGATGCTTTCAAATTTTGGTGCTGGAGAAGACTCTTTGAGAGTCCCTTGGCCAGCAAGAAGATCAAACCAGTCAATTCTAAAGGAAATCAACCCTGAATATTCGTTGAAAGGAGTGGTGCTGAAGCTGATTCTCCCAATACTTTGGCCACCTGATGCAAAGAGCTGACTCATTGTAAAAGACCCTGATACTGGGAAAGTTTAAGGGCAGGAGGAGAAGGGGATGACAGAATGAGATGGTTGGATGGCATCACTGACTCAGTAGACTTGAGTTTGAGCGACTCCAGGAGGTAGTGAAGGTCAGGGAATCCTGGCATGCTGCAGTCCATGATTTTGCAGAGTCAGACACAACTGAGTGGCTGAACGAGAAGACAACTTGAGAACTTAGATGATAATGCCGACTTTCAGGGATGTTCTGACCTCCACATTGAGTTACAGAATCTTAACTTTTGTTAGTTTGCTCGTGTTCTGTCTTGCTCTTTCTCTTCCATCTTACTTTACTCCTCCCTCTTCCTATTCCTGTGTTGCTCTTTACCCACCTATTTATAGGTGATTGGAACAGGGGATGGTAACATAGTGGTCACCAGTTGTTATCAGACGTTGATTAAAACAGGTTTACCAGCCTAGTAAAATTTTGTGTTTAATGGTTTCCTTTTTGGTTTCTTTTCCAGGTTTTTATTGTCTGCTCTTTTTCTGATGTGGTTCTAGTGTAGTTATAAAGCATTAGATAAAGTTTTTTAGTCTCCTGCATTTTCTTTCTTGAGTATTTGCTTCATCAGACTAATCTGATTCGAAAATTTTTTTGAGTGAAAGGACAATATGCATCAGTTTGCCGATAAAACCACTTATTTGAAAGGAATGATACAGCCATGAAGAGAATGTCAGTGGTGTATACTTTTAAAATGCATACAAGCACTTTCCTGGCAGTCCAGTTAAGACAGTCCTTCCACTGCAGGAGGGATAGGTTCAATTCTTGGTCGGGAAACTAAGATCTTGTATGCTGCAAGATGAGGCCAAATTAAATAAGTAAAATGCTTAGAAAGTGCCAGGTGCTAAGTGTATTATAAATATTTGTATAAAACTTGTCACTAATTGATGATTACTTAATTTTAATCCTTGCCATACTTGAATTTATTTTACCTTATTCCTCATAACTCTGTGGTGGGTATTAAAGCTCTTCCCCTCCTTAATCCGGGTATGTTATAGCTTCCGAAACATTCCAGGTGGAGGCAATAAAAAGCAAGGAATTGAAATCTAATCTTTGTGTATTTGAGAGACACTAACCATTCCTTCAACCCTGTTTTGTGGCATGATAAACTAAACTCAGTAGTCTTCATGTTTGTAAATGTACTATGAGTTTATCATACTCTTTTATGGTTCAGTTATTTTTCTTACAGAATGTGTGGCTGAATCTCAGAATTTTATTCTCCTTAATGCTCCTCTGGCTAAACCCTACCTTGAAGGGTAGACATAATATGGAAATATACTTCCTTGTGTGGAATAGAGTGGTAAAATAGTACCCGCATCCCTCACAAAATTCTTCTATGTTGATATGGCTGCCTGCCCAGAAACTTGCTAGAATCTGTTAAACAGATTTATACATAATCAAAACTTCCTTCAAAACAAATGGATACCAATACTGACTAGAAGCATATAACTGCTAAGTTACTGTGTTTTAATTCTTTTTTCTCTCTCTCTAAAGTTTGTGCAAATGATTCCACTATCTCTCATATCTGTGGTCCTGGGACATGGTTGACTCCATTTCTTCAAGCAGTCTACCTCTTTGTACAGTATATCATTATGGTCAATCTTCTCATTGCATTTTTCAAGTAAGAATTTTACTCAGTTGCTTATTGTAATGAGTTCATTTAATATACAGTTTTCTTTTTGAAGGAACTATACAAAATTTTAAATATGATTATATTGAGGCTTAAACTACTAAGAATTATGTCTGACAATTATAAATAAAGCATGCTTTTTCAAAACCAAATCAGTTCTAAGTTTGAGACTCTACCTTTCAGCATTCCATTCTTTTATAAATTTAATATTTGGGATTTATTACTCAGTGGTCAGGGTATACATGTACAATATACAAAACAGAAAGGCAAATAGAAAATTCTTCAGTAATCCATTCTTAGTGTTTTGATGTACATCTTTTATGAGCATATGTAAACCATTTTTTTTCTTTCAAAAACAATGTTCTTATAGTTTTGTGTACTGTTTTTAAGTAAGCAGAACATGAGTTTCTCCTGCATTAATAAATACCCCTCTCCAGTTTTTTAATGGCTGCCTAGTATTCCATGATATAGACCATGATTTTTAAGCCAGTATGTTTTTATTGCTCCATCTGATTGTCTATAATTTTTTCTTCCGCAGAACCACATTGTGGTTAAATTTTTGATCAGTCCTTATGTATTTCCTTAGAGTGTTTTCCTGGAAGTAGAACTATTCAGTGTATTTATATTTTGGGCTTCTTGTCAAAATTTGCCTGTTTCTCCAAATCTATGCTAATAGGAGGTGTTATCCTTTTGATGGTTGCTTATTTTAAAGCACATAAGAGTCTTATTTTTATTTGCAGTTAGTATGTTACTTCAGATTGAATATTTTCTTATGTTTTTGTCATTTATATACCATTTTAAAAGCTTAAAATCATATTTTCTGCCTATGTTTTAGTTGGTTTGTAATTAAGACCCTCAACAATATCAATATGTTTATGTTTTTGCTGCATATGTTTTTTCCAGTTTCTCATTTGCCTTTTAGTCTTTTTTATATTGGGATACTCCTTTGAATCCTTGTTTAGAACATAATTACAGTAAAATTTTAGTACTTCAAACTTTAAAATGTGCTTACCTAAGTTTGTTTATTCTTTGTTATTTAAGCAATGTGTATTTGCAAGTGAAGGCAATTTCCAATATTGTATGGAAGTACCAACGTTATCATTTTATTATGGCTTATCATGAGAAACCAGTTCTGCCTCCACCACTTATCATTCTCAGCCATATAGTTTCTCTTTTTTGCTGCATATGTAAAAGAAGGAAAAAAGATAAGACTTCAGATGGACCAAGTAAGTAAAGTATATTAAGACAAATGTTTTTATCACATGCCAGTATTATACTGAAAGCTAAATATTAATTTTATTCTGAAGACTTAATTTGTTAATTTATGTTATTGTAAAGGCTTTTGGATTTGCCTAAGCATAAAATATTTTTAAGTGCAATATGGTTATCTGTAAAAGTAAATTTAGCATTAAACTTGCTTTTTGACATGGCATCTCAATTTAGTTTTCTTAAAATGCTAATATAAACCATAACACTTGCTGTCCTATAAACCATTTTGACTGCTACATAAACAATAACACTTTTAGTGTATTTTGTACACTACATGAGATGTAGTCAAACTCTGTCTAAAATTTTACACTGACTTTTTATTCTACCATTTCAATTTTTAAAATTCTTCTGAGTATGTGAGGGAGAGGTGAGAGAGATAGATGAGAAAGGGTGTTTCGCAGGAAAAGGAAATTAGAACAGGAGGAAATACCAGAAACTCTTCTGATGACACCACACTGTGAGTGAAGAAAGAAGTAGAAATGACTTGTCTGTGGCTTCAGAAATAGTAAGTTTTTTAGTAAGGAAACAGTTGCAGATGATTTACATAATCTTACGAACTCTTTAGCTAAAGTTTATCTTGATGTCCTCGTTTATTTTTCTTTTCCTTTTCCCTCCATAGAACTTTTTTTAACAGAAGAAGATCAAAAGAAACTTCATGATTTTGAAGAGCAGTGTGTTGAGATGTATTTTAATGAAAAAGATGACAAATTTCATTCTGGGAGTGAAGAGAGAATTCGTGTCACTTTTGAAAGGTTCAGAAACTCTTTAATTATAACTGATTTTATGTCAGAGTGGGTTCTGTTAGTTATGTCTCTCTTAACATGGTCACTGTGTGATTTGTGTTTGTCAAACAAGTTTAGCAATGGTTTTACATTATATATTGGGAGACAGATCAATTGTTTACTTCATGTAAGTCAGTCAGTCTCTTAATGTTTTTGGACCCTTGTTACAGGAGGCAGAAAAGAGTTAATATTCTTTACTAGTTGATGGAGAAAAATTACTATTTAATTATTTTAAATAATTATGTTTTAAAATAATTATGTCTTAATTATTATGTCTTTAATTATGTAAAACCTTTCTTTCCATTAGCTTTGCTACATTCTAAAAATATATGGTGTTTGTGTAGTTACAGTAATGGTAATAGTAATCATGTGTATATGTAGTTGAATACTCTTGTGTTACTCTGATGTGGGAATAAATAGCCTGTGGCACAAAAGCCTGTTTTGAAATCTTATATTTTTATTACAATAGGATTAGCACTGGTTTTTTCTTAAACATAAGGTATGCCTTGTTATAAATGAATAATTGTACAAGATTTTATATCTTACCTTGTTTTGAGTGCATGTAAAATTTCTTTTTACCAATATCATTTATTAAGATTACAGAAATAATTTCTAAACCATTTATTTTTAACATTTGTAAAATGCCTGTGTTTCCATTACAGAGTGGAACAGATGTGCATTCAGGTTAAAGAAGTTGGAGATCGTGTCAACTATATCAAAAGATCATTACAATCATTAGATTCTCAAATTGGTCATTTGCAGGATCTTTCAGCCCTGACTGTTGATACATTAAAAACACTCACTGCCCAGAAAGCTTCAGAAGCTAGCAAAGTTCACAATGAAATCACACGCGAATTGAGCATTTCCAAACACTTAGCTCAAAACCTTATTGATGATGGTCCTGTAAGACCTTCTGTATGGAAAAAGCACAGTGTTGTAAATACACTTAGTTCCTCTCTTCCTCAAGGTGGTCTTGAAAGTAATAATCCTTTTCTTTGTAATATTTTTATGAAAGATGAAAAAGATTCCCAATGTAACATATTTGGTCAGGATTTACCTGTAATACCCCAGAGAAAAGAATTCAGTTTTCCAGAGGCTGGTTCCTCTTGCAGTGCCTTATTCCCAAGTGCTGTCTCTCCTCCAGAGCTGCGACAGAGAATACATGGAGTAGAAACCTTAAAAATGTTTAGTAAAAATCAAAAACCAGGCAATTCATCTAACAGTATACCACATCTATCATCCCCACCAACCAAATTTTTTGTTAGTACACCATCTCAGCCAAGTTGTAAAGGCCACTTGGAAACTGTAACCAAAGATCAAGAAACTGTTTGTTCCAAAGCTGCAGAGGGAGATAACATAGAATTTGGAGCATTTGTAGGTAAGTTTGGGAAAACTGATATTTGTACATCAACAGTATTTTTTTAAAATTATGATTATCACCATAGAAATAAAAAATAAATTGCCAATTAATAAAATTATGTAACTCTGTGACAAGTGGACTATGTTTTCATAGAGTATAGTCCTGCAGTTTTTAAAGGAATCAAAAGTAGGGGAAATAGGTTGAATTGGGCTGTAATAATAGTTATATTAGCACATACCTCTTTGGTGCAACTTAAATAGTGATTGTGTGGAAAACTTATTTGTATTCTGTCTTTTGAACTTGAGGATAGTCTCTTAGTAATCAACTTTCATTGAAAGCACTTGAGTGATTTGTAAGTTTCGAATACAAAGGGAAAGAGGAGGCTAAAAGTGACTGGCAAATAACAGTGTTTTATAAATAAGATGACCATATAGTTTTTCATTCAAACTAGTACACCTTTGAGAATGAAAGGTTATATTACTAATATTTACATTAGGACTATAGGGAAAGCTAAGATTCTTCTTGAAAAATGAGTATTTATAGCCAACCCATTTATATACCCAGAGGAGAGCATTTCAGAAAGGAATGATTCAGTCTTAGACCTCACCTCAAATAAAATCAGGACTGGAAATATGTATCTTTTGGCAGTGATAACATATCAGTGACCTTGGTGAAACTGTTTTGGTGAAGGAAGTGATGGAGGGAGAAGCCAGATTACAGTGAAATACAGTGTGAATGGGAGGAGAGAAAGTGAAGTACCAGTGAAAAGGGGGCTGCTCAAAAACTTGGCAGTTAAGGCAAGAAGAAAGAAATAACTAATATTTTGGTTTGTATGTTTAAGGCTTTATTTGTTTCATTTTTGATGATAGTTTGTTGTCTAAATGTTGACATTATGCCACGTGAAAGGAAAAGGTGAAGAGAGGATGCTTTATAGAGCCAATCAGATACCAGATATGCGTAGAATGTAGTGTTTTAACAGACTTCCTCTTTGATTATTAAAAGTATTTAAGAAATAGAAAACAACTTGAAGAAAGAAATAAGAAAAAAAAAAAACAACTTGAGTTGTTTGTGGACATAACCAGAGTGTTCCAAGGATTGAAGAAGGCACTCTGTCTCTTTGGGTTTGAATTTTTCCATCAGGTGGCTTCTTAGCCTTGTCTTTAACACTATATGTGGCTTCCTAGCCTAGGAATTTACCTAGTCATGGAACATGTATAGAGATCATTCAGATAATATGTTAGATCTATGTGAAGTCTCCATATTAGGGCCAACCCTATGATTTATCTAGGGACTGAGCATGCTGATCTCTACTGCTAAAGTGAGTTCACTGTGGTTTATAGAGACGATTTTTCCTACATTAAATATATCCCATTTGATTTTTTAAAAACACATTTTAGTCTATTTGTTAATATATTGCCACTGGGATGGATATGTGTAGATACAGGTATCCTTATGTTTGATATATGTATTTATATGTAATATGCATGTGTCATGTGTATAATAAACATCTTAATATATAATGCTTTTTTATTGATAAAAGCTTCCCTGGTGACTTAGACGGTAAATCTGCCTGCAGTGCAGGAGACCCGTGTTTGATCTCTGGGTCGGGAAGATCCCCTGGAGAAGGGAGTGCAACACAGTTCAATGTTCTTGCCTGGAAATTCCATGGACAGAGGAGCTGGCAGATTACAGTCCATGGGGTTGCAGAGTCACACAGGACTGTGCGACTGACACGCACACACACTCTGATAATCAAAGGCTTGTCCTCCTTTTAAATTGTAAGCAGTTCACTTCAGATCACTTGTAGCACTCTTAGGATCCTATTGATGTAAACTGAACAACTCATGTTCTCCAACCTTTTTAATAAGTATTTTCACTATCAAGAAAGCTACAGAAAACTGCAGAGCCATCAAAACTACTTACAACACAATGTAAATCATGTGTTTGAATAGACAAGGCAATCAGATTATTTTGATAGATCAAAATAAACAAGTACTTTTTGTTGTAATCTTTCTCCCTCCTTTTTAGGACACAGAGATAGCATGGATTTACAGAGGTTTAAAGAAACATCAAACAAGATAAAAGAAATGTTATCTGTAAGTAAATCCTTAGAGCAGTGCAGTTTATTTGGTTGGTTGGGGGTTTAGTTCAAAATAGAATTAAACAAGTTTTTCAGTAAAAACACAGTTAGCAGAGACCATCCATCATCATGATGATCTGAAATACTTTAAGCTCAGCAGACATATTTCTTTTTCTCCTGTATTTCCTGCCTCTGTTAATAATGTCAGCATTCTAGTTTACCAGGGCGAACTTGCATTCTTACTTCTCCCTTCCAGTCAACAGCCAAGTCTAACTGGTTTTGCTTCCTAAATGCTTTTTTAGTACTTCTGCTTCTCTTGATCGTTAATAGTTACCCTGACTTAGGCTGTTATTCTCTTTTACTTCATTGAACTCTTAATATATCTTTAACAAGGTGTTACAGCAGCAGTTGAAAGAATATATCACCACACTCTGATGTCATCATTTTGCTGTTATAAAGTACTTGTTATATATGGGAAATCATTTAGGATAAATGGACATTTCCTAGTGGGAAACGGTAAATGTTAGGGTTTCCCCACAGATTGTACCTTTCAACAGTGACCCTATTAAATGAGCTTAAAGCCAAAGTATGCTGAAAATTTTTAAGGGTGCAGATAGCTTCCTGCTAAAAACAAAAATAAGTTTCTGTGAGTGGCACGAAAAGTGGTGGCTGTGTTTTCAGTTTAACAATTTTGAGTAATCTACTTAGAGAAAAAGAACTATGCTAATAGAATAATGAGTTCTAGCTCATGTTGGTCAGAGACTTTGAGTTCTTAAACATTTGTGGGTTACATCCCTTTGAAAATCTAATAAAAGCTTTAGATCTACTCCAGGAAAAAATGCAAATATATGTTTCTGCTTTTAAGGTATAGAATTATACAGATACCTGAAGTTCACTCATCAGTCCCATACTGGAATTTCTGTCAAACATGGTTCTATAAAATTGATGTGTCACTGCATCAAAGAGTATATCAAGGAAAGTACTTAAGCAAAACAAAAAATAACTAGAACTGGTTCCAAAAGAAGCAACTAAAATCAGAACAGATTAGAGTTGCTTTGTGACAAAAGGAAGGTTAACACTTTTTGTTGACTAAGTAAATCAGCTGTAATGTGAAGAGTGTGAAGCATCAAAGGTAGAAAAGTTTAATTTTCTTGAGATACGTTAAATTTGTTAATGAAAGTAATAGTTTATTTTGGTAGTAACATTTTAAAACCCATTGTTTCTGAGGGGTGGTAGAGGTTTGGAAATATTTTAAAGTACATAATAGTGTGACCCGTTTATAGTTAAAAAGAAACAAAATGAATATATCAGCTCACCCTCTTTAGTGAAATTTAGTTCATCTGGAAAAATGAATAGGTATAAAGAAGAAAATGAGGGGGAATTAGTTGTTAGATAATAAAATATCTATACAGGTGCTACAGTTGAAACATGAATATTTAGTGAAACATTTTGATGACTCTGAAATAACTCTTCTACAAATTAGAATTTAATAAAGGTAAAATTAGAAATCAATGCGAAAAGGAATGCTTTGTCAGTAAATACACAAATTGGACAACTGGGTAGAAATTTGGAAACTTCTGTTTCATATCACTTTATAAGCTCAATGAATTCCAGATTTAATATAAAAATTCAAATCATAAAAAAACCTAAGAAAATAGAAATATTAAGTCAAAGTCAGGAAGCCTTTTTAAACAAATATTAAGGGAAAGATGTAGAGAGATGAGTACTTAAAAATATGAAGCATAGATAAATCTTAAAAAAACAGAAATTTGACAAATAATGATCAGATAAATATTTGGTATACAAATAGCTTATACAAATCAGTAACAAAGCTACCAAAAATCCCCCAGATAAATTTCCCCTCCACTCCTTTACCCTCCAAATTGTTATCACTTTTAATTTTAGTGTAAAATAGTAGTTGTTTTCTTTTTTAGGATAACTGATGTTTTATTATTTTCCAAATTGTTTCCTATTTTTCCCCCAACTTTTTTATGAATTTGTATTACTATGGAAAAGGATTCATTCAGGTGGATTTATGAACAATAAGCAAGTAGGTTATTTTGATGGCAGTTTTTGAGATTGATATTGAAGAAACTAATTGTAACTTATAATATACTCTTTGGAGTCCAGGTAGATTAAAGTATATTGAGCTAAATAGATCCAGGGACTCTTATACTACTTAGAACAGTGGTATGAAATTTAGTTAAACTGTTTTAACATTGTGTATGTGTATCCTGTGCAGAATGATATTCCTTCTGAAAACACTTTGAAACATGTGAGTTCTCATGCTGGATTTACTGAGTGTCACAAAACAACTATTCCTCTTCATTCAGAACAAGGTGAGTGTTTTGACTACGTGAGTTACATTAAATAAAAGGTATTTTATGTTGTCACACACCTGAGCAGTGAATGTTTCAGGAGTCAGAAAATGAAGATTCTGGTCCATCGTTGTTCTCAACCTTGAATAGGACATAATGTTAACATTCTAATAGTTTTTCTTTTTTAACCAATTGTTTAGTCCTGAAAAAAATGCAGACTTACTTTTTACAAATCTGCTGATTTTAACTTTTACAGATGACTCTGCTCTGTTTTAATCTGTATAGTCATTTAGTCAACTTGTTTTTCTGATTTAATCTTTAAAAATAGCTAATACATTGATTGGTTCAAAAGTAAAATACACACAAGTACTTTGAAAATTGTTGTCAGTTTCTCACTTTAGCCCCATATGTAACTATTGTTATTTTGTTTTTCCTTTAAAGTTTCAAGCTTATATAATCATAGGACAATAAGTCTTTTCTACCTCTGATTTTTAACACAAAAGGTAGCATACTACACATGCCCTGCACCTTTAATTTTTTATCTAAAAATCAAATGGCCTGGAGATGTTTCCATATCATGCTTTTTTTTTTGTCAGTCATTATTATATGCATATAAGTTTATTGTTATCTAACTTTTCAGTTAGGTACATATAATCTTTTTAAGATTCCTTAAGAAAAGCAGTACTACTATATCCCCCTCACCATCATTTCTCCTTTCTCTTCAAGTTAGGTTTACTCTAGGAGTGCAAATTGGTTTAACATTCAAATATAATTAAGGCATGTTGATAACAAATCAAAGGAAAAATATTATCTGATCATCTTAATAGTTGCAGAAAGGCTGACTTTGATGAAATTCAACATCTGTTCATGATTAAAAACTCCTAGCAAATTAGAATGGAGTTTTCTTAATCTAAATAAAAGGTATCTTAACAAAAATTTACCACAGATACCACACTTCATAATGAAATATTAAGAGCCCCAGAAGGGAAACAAGGATTCTGGCTTTTATCATTTCTATTTAACATTTTAGCCACAGGAAAAAAAGGAAGAAAAGTAAATGGTAGAAGGATTGAGAGGGAAGAAATAAAACTCTTTATTTTCAGATAACTTGGATATTATTACTAACATTAGAATGTCTATGGGCTTCCCTGGTGGCTCAGAGGTTAAAGCGTCTGCCTGCAATGCGGGCAACCTGGGTTTTGTCCCTGGGTCAGGAAGATGCCCTGGAGAAGGAAATGGCAACCCACTCCAGTTTTCTTGCCTGGAGAATCCCATGGACGGAGGAGCCCGGTAGGCTACAGTCCATGGGGTCGCAGAGTCAGACACGACTGAGCGACTTCACTTTCACTTTCAGAATGTCTATAGTTTTACATCCTCATGTTTCAGTTTTAGGCAGTTATCTATTGACCTCCCACTAAAGAAGACAAGAGCTAGGATTATGGCAAGAATTTGAAATCAGGCCAAATGTCCATTAATTGTAGTTTGGTTAAACAAATTGTTGTATGTCCTTTGTTTGAAGTTCAATGTAGCATCTAAGTGGAATAGAAGAATCTTTTGTATACTGATATTGAAAGATCTCCAAGCTTAAAGTTTAAAAACCAACAACAGGGACTTTCTGGTGATCCAGTGGTTAAGACTCCATGCTCCTGATTGAGGGGGCCTGGGTTTGATCCCTGATCAGGGAGCTAGATCACACATGCCACAAGTAAGAGTTTGCATGCTGCAACTAAGAGCTGGTACAGCCAAATAAATATTTTTAAAAACCAACAACAAAAAAAGGTCTGTAAATTAATTTAAAATAAAAAAGTCTGAAGATACATGATTAACATTTATGTTTAAATTTAAAAAAAGGCAGGGATATATACACAAACACAAAGTATCTGGAAGGATACACAAGAAATTTGGAAACAGAGAAAAAGCAAGGTTTTTTTTCATGCTCTTTTGTTTCATGTTGCCTATTCACAGAAAAACTGAATAATTTTGATATCCTGTCAAGAGACCCATGGGCTTCGTGTAATTCTTATGTTTAGCAGTGATAGGGAAAGGATACTTATCCTTGGAAAATTTTATATTATGCCTTGAAATGCTTGTGTTTTGTTAGTTGGTATTAAAAGTTTGTTTTAGTTGTAAAACTTCCTTGTTTTTTAAAATTTTCTTTTAGTGGAAAGTAGCAGTAGAAGGTCATCTACAGAAGAAACTCATGAAGTAGATTCCAAAGCAGCTTTGCTACCGGTTTGTACATTTCAATTAAACATATGCATAGCACAAAATCATATTTATTAGAGAAGAGCTAAAACATGGTGATATTTTATTTGAGATGATGTGTAGCTTTAAAAAAATTTTTTTTTAATTGAAGGATAATTGCTCTACAATGTTATGGTGGTCTCTGTCATGCATCAACATGAATCAGTCATAATTACTTACATATATATATATATCTCTATCTGTATATCTCCCCTGCTTCTTGAGCCTCCCTCCCTGACCCACATCCCACCCCTGTGAGTTATCACAGAGTGCCAGGCTGGGCTCCTTGTGTATAGCGCCTTCTTGCTAGTTACCTGTTTTATACATTATAGTGTATATATGTCAATGCTGCTTTCTCAATTCATCCTACCCTCTTATTCCCCTACTGTGTCCACAAGTCTGTTCTCGACATCTGCACCTCCATTTCTTCAATACTATTTTTCTAGATTCCATATATATGCATTAATATATGATACTTTTTTCCTCTGATTTGCTTCACTCTGTATACAGTGAAATAATACTCAACCACAGTGTTAACATAGTGTTATAATTAGGTGGAAAATGTGTTAAACATTAAAAATATGGAAAATACCTATGAATTGACCTTGAGAGACTAGATAGAATTTGAAGAGATTATAAACAACTTAGAATTTTCCAAAATTATGAAATGTATGATGATTCAAATTCAGGAAACATGAGTCCCAAACTGAAGAAGTAAAAATAAATTGACACTTAGAAATGTAAAACAGCAGAATAAAACCTACCATGTACACACACAATATGCCTGTTACTAGTGATTCATTTGTCACAGTTTGCATGATTTTAATTTTTTTTCTTTGATGTATTTTTCTTTTGGCAGCAAACACATTTTTTTTCAGAGTCATAGAAACAAATGTGTATTTTAAGACGAGAAAATTGTTAACTGACAACTATAATTATATGATAGGAAATAGCACTTGTAAAGTTCTTTATTCTACCTTGTGAAATGGCCTTATGGTAGCTTTTATAGCCATTTTTTATTCTATTGGCTCAGTTGTATAAACAAAATTCATATTAATTTCTCAGCCATTTATTCATAAAACATAATGTAAGATACAAAGCAGAGATAAACAGTTAGGCTTTGTCTAGAGACTTTTTCTTTTAACTTTTTGTTTGTGTTTGTTTCTGTCTAAAGGACTGGTTACAAGATAGACCATCGAATAGAGAAATGTAAGTAAGCCTTGTCTCACTGTTAGCGTGAAAAGTACTCCAGTTACTGAATGTTGTCTTTTTTCTGCTCTTTGCATAATAACCTCTTTAACACTTCTTGCAAGTGTTGATTATTTATTTTGGAATCTCCTGTCTTTACATTGAAAAGATTGGGGAATCATTTATTATGAGTCAATGTATATATTTATGATTTTATATAATTATACTATAATTATGGGCATATTGTTAGTCACATCTTGACTAAAATTTTCCTTATAATGATAGAATTATGATTTTATGATTTAGTCCTATTTCCAAGTTGCTTGCAAAGACCTAGTTTGACACCTTAATTAATTTCTCTGCCCATTGTTCCAATCAACAAGCTTTGTCTTCTGCATTTGGAAAGCACTTAGGCAATTAAAGCAGTAACACACAGTGTACCTTAGAACGCCTGCATGCAGGGAATGCCCTCGAAAGCTGATGTGGTGATCCAGAACCAAAAGTAGAAACAGAAGACTATCTGACAAGTAGTCATCCCCAAAAAGTAAAAAATTCGGTACAGATTAAACATAAGAATCAAAGATAATCTATGTGTTTCCCAGCCTGGAAATTAGTATTTTAGGATTCCAGAGGACATTAATCTTGTTTTGATACCTATTTGATATAGGAAGCATGCTTAAGAAGGGAAGCCAGTTTGAGGGAAATTATTATATATTATACAGTGTTTACCCTATTTCCTTCTCTGTATCAAACATAGATAAGGGTATAAAGAGAAGAAAAGAAACCAGATGTTACATAGGTATGCAGCTGGTCAAATTTTGGAGATATCCTGGTCCTGACTGGTACTTGGAAGACCTGTTTATAATGAAACCTCTTCAGAGAATAAATATCTTTTGTAACTAGAACTGTAGGGTGTAAGTACAGATTTGGTTCTTAAAGTTGATGTTAATTCAGCTAATGAGAGAACACTGAATTACAGAATACTGATCCAGAGAAGTACCCACAAAGGTAGAGTTGGCAGTAACTCTTTGGGTACTAAGAAAAGAGTGCTTTATCAATAGTAGAGAAAGGGCTGGTGCTCGGTCAGAGTGTTTCCTGTAAGAAAATATTTGTGTTATTAAGGTGAAAACCAAACATCAGAATCAATGTAAAAGCTAGAAGGAGATTTCCAAGGTCTTCTACTCTATAGGTCCTTTCAGGATCTAGTCCTTTAGTCGTCCTGAGCAAAGCCACATAACTGTATAATGGGAGAACGAACCTTCTAATCCATTTTCTTTATTCCATTCCACTTTCCTTTCCACTATACCTGTCTCTCTAATCTGTACTGTAATCTGTGGGATTAATAGAACTTCCACTTGATATCAATATATGTTATTATAAGTAAATTATGTTCAAGATTGGAGAGAAATTTTTTTCAAGTTTAGCAGTTGAGTTTTGCAAAATGATGCCTAATTACTGTTCTTTCAGTTCTTTGCCTATCAATTCTGTTGAACTTCTATAGTCTTACAAAGTCATTTCAAGGCATTATGTAAAAGTACTGGAGTGAACCTCCATAATAGAGGAGTCATGGAATATATTACTCTATTAGTACTCATTCAGTTTGGCTCCAGACTACTACTGATATTTATGTAGGCTTGAATTAGAGGTATGAGTTATTGATAATGGGTTTATACATATCTGTGTGTGAATTTGGTGCTAACTTAAGGGAAATGGCAAATATTCAAACAAAAGTGAATCTGAATCTCAGAATTATTTTAATAATGTTATATTGAGAATTTATAATAACTTCATAAAATAAAGTTTTATGGTAACCAAAACTAAAGCTGTAACTTAACTTATTATATTTTTTTGGTGTTTCCTTAAGGCCGCCTGAAGAAGGAACCTTAAATGGTGAGTGTGTAGTAAATATAATGTGAAAAGCTAAGGATTGTATATGATGTATTTTATTTTAGCAAATACTAACATTGTCCTAGATAAGAAATATTAGGCTTCATATTTGAAAAAAGCCAAGGAAGTAGAAAGTTGTTCCCTCCGTTCATTTCTCTTTATTATATGTGTTTACAAATACGGTAACTCACCTTGTGAATGATTATCTTTTTGCAGTCTTCCCACTTCCTTTCATCCTTGCTGCCCAGGCTGCTGCTTCCTTATATTCCCTGTGTTACTGAATGGTACTCTTTCGTTCAGCTAGGTGAAACCTGAGAGAAAGGTATTCTTGACCCCCTTGACCTTGCACTCACAAAGTCCTATTATTTTTACCTCTTAAAACATTTCTGGAATCCATCTTCCACTGTATATCCTGCTGCTGCTTTCAGTTCAGACTGTCATCATTTTTAAATCCTTTTATTGATGCATATACAGAAAATATATACTAAGTGAGCATTCCCATGTAATCAGCACCCAGATCACAAAATACATGTTGTCAGTATTTTAGCTACTGTATCATCTTCTTATAACCTCTGCCCTTTAAACAATACAGATTGATTTTATCTTTGTGTATGTACATGTTTATCTATTTTTCTTTATTTTATGTATATATATTTGTGTGTATATATATAAAGTATATAAATGAAATCTTACAGTGTGTACTCTTCTTTTGGTGTCTGACTTTTGTCGTAACACATGCTTATGAGATTCATAAACATTGTTGTATGTAGTGATGGTTTGTGCATTCTCACTACTATATAGTATTTTCTTATATAAATATATTCAATTTATATATCGATTCTACCATTAGATGAGTATTTCAGTAGCTTCCAGTATATGGCTAATATTCATAGTGCTGCATTAGCATTCTTGTTCATGTTGTTTGGTAAACAGGATGTATTTATTTTCAGTTGGGTATGTACACAGGAGTGGAATTGCTGGTGGTAGGGCATATTCAGTAGTTACTACCAAATAGGGTTTCAAAGTAATTGTGCCAATTTGGGCTCCTTTCCAGTCTCTTTTCTATTCTACCACCAAAATGATTCTTTTAAAAAGATCTGATCTTGTCACTCCTCTGCTTTCCATTTTTCTACTGTCAGATAAAATCAGCATCTTTTCATTTTTTAAGTATTTTAGAAGTTTTATTTATTTTATTTTTGGCTGTGCTGGGTCTTTGTTGCCGTATGGACTCTTCTCTAGCTGTAGAGAGCAGGGGCTACTCTCTAATTGTGGTGCATGGGCTTCCCATTATGGCCTCTCTTGGGGAGCACAGGCTTTAGGATGTGTGGGCTTCAGTGATTGAAGTTTCTGGGCTCTAGAGCTCAGCTCAGTAGTTGCGGCATACTGGCTTAGTTGCTCCGTGGCATGTGGGATCTTCCCAGGTCATGGTACCCATGTCTCCTGCATTGGCAAGCAGATTCTTTACCACTGGGCCACTAGGGAGGCCCCCGGTGTATTTTCTTAACATTGCTTATTTGGCTTTTAACAATTTGGTGTTCCCTGCTTCTGTAGCTTTACTTCCTATTGGTATGCCTGTACTTTTGCTCATTAATTTAAGATCTTGGTTGCATATCCAGATACTTGGTTATAAATCCAAATCACTTGTATGACGACACATACCTGAAGAGTTAGAATATTTTGGAGTGAGATTTGGGTAAGTCTATGTTTGAAAAGCCACACAGGTGATTCTGATATATGGATAGGTAGGTAGATTGGTAGGTAGGTATGTAGATAAATAGATAGATGGTGTTGAAAACCACTGTTCTATTCATATTAAACAGGTTTCTGTTTCTCAAGTATAGCAAATGTTGCCCTGACCATACCACACTTTCCAAACTACTTGCTTTCCGCTTTGTCTTTTCTGTGAGACATTCTTCAACCAGGAGACATTTGGTACCTCTCCGCTACAGTCCGATACTCTGTGTGTGTGAGAATATGCATACACACACTATATTTTATACAATTTATCACACAGTGTTATAACTGTTAACTGATTTCCTTCTCCTGTAAGAATGTAAATGAAAAAGAACCTATTCTTCCACTTATATTCTAGAAATTTCTAGAAGCTTAACACACAGGTTCAATGTATTCTCCATCTTTCTCACTACAGCTAAGTGAAGTCCTCACAGAAATTAACACAACATTGTAAATCAACTATACTTCAATAAAGAAATAAAATTTTAAAAAAGTGAAATCCTCAAATATATCTAGAGATGGAGGAAGGGTTTTTTTGGTTACATTTCACATTTGCTCATGGTCAACCAGCTAAAATGGTTACAGGGCTATGTCTCCATACCCCGAAGATCTGACACTTCTCTTTTTGAGTAGGGAATAAGGGAAGAATGTAGTTTATGACAGGAGAGTGTGAACTATCATATGCTTTTTGAGTGCGCAGTTACCACTAATCTGCCATATCTGGCATAATAAAATATGGTAATAAAGCACATGAGGGACATAATTTATCACTTTTTTTATTGCAGAGAACTTTCCTGCACACAGCTTGGAATGATTAAATGAGAATGCCTGAGCAAAAATTTATGCTGTATTATTATTTTTAAAAGGGTCTCATTTGTTTATTTGCTGTTTTAGGTCTTGCTTCTCCATTTAAGCCAGTTATGGATACAAATTACTATTACTCAGGTTAGTAATAATAAGTATTAAAAACAAAATTTAGTAATGCTTTGAGCTTTGGGGGATTTCATTATTTCTCTCTCATTTTTTTATGCAGCTGTGGAAAGAAATAACTTGATGAGATTATCGCAGAGCATTCCATTTACACCTGTGCCTCCAAGAGGTAAAACCAAGAAGTAAAATAAAAGGAGAAATAAACCCTTAATTAATATGTGGGTTTAAACTGTAATATAGAACATAGGTGGTGACAGAAAGAGGAGAAATTGCATTAAGAAGTGTTGACTTAAAAAAAAAAAGTATTAACTTCATGTAAGTTTTAATAAGCCTGATTACAAGAGCAGGTATGTTTAAATAGATAAAGGCATCGGAAGTATTGATTTTTCTTTATTTCTGACATATCCAGAGGCAGTGGTGTATTAATTCAGAAAAGCTCTTGGTCATAGTTTAGTAATGAAAGCACTGATAAATTGATATCACAGGATTTGTGGAACAGGTCTAACCTCCTATCTGAAAGTTTAGCTTACAAATGCTTAGAAGTCTAGTTACTTTCTAAAAATTTTTCTCCAAAATGTTCATGATTTCAAAAATGCTTATCATTACCAAATACATGTGAACTTAGGATATTAGATCTTGGTTTCTGAATATTTCTTGTCCTTAAACTTATTTTGTAAAACTGCAACCTGGTAAACTTATTTTGTAAAACTACAACCTGGTCCGTCTCATCTTCTAGTCCTTACTTAATCTTAACCAAAGATACCTGCCAATTTTTGCTCCATGCTTTTTAGAGTCATATTTTGACCTTAAAATGTGTCCATTCAACTTGCAGGTGAGCCTGTCACAGTGTATCGCTTGGAAGAGAGTTCTCCAAACATACTGAATAACAGCATGTCTTCTTGGTCACAGCTGGGCCTCTGTGCCAAGATAGAATTTTTAAGTAAAGAGGAGATGGGAGGAGGTTTACGAAGAGCTGTCAAAGTACAGTGTACTTGGTCAGAACATGATATCCTCAAATCAGGACATCTTTATATTATCAAATCTTTTCTTCCTGAAGTGGTTAACACATGGTCAAGTATTTATAAAGAAGATACAGTTCTGCATCTCTGTCTTAGAGTAAGTGCTAGTGAATACATACAGTGAAGCATTGTTTGAGTTCCTTGTTTTCACTGCTAAAGTATAATTAATAAAGTCTTAATGTCAATGTTGAACAAGGGTTTCTTTTTTTCTGTTCTGTAGGAAATTCAACAACAGAGAGCAGCACAGAAACTCACATTTGCCTTCAACCAAATGAAACCCAAATCCATACCATATTCTCCAAGGTAAATCTTTACAAATTTCTGAGATCTTTTAGTGGATAGCATTCTCTTTTGACCTTCATTATGGATGCTGAATTTCATTATTTACCCATTTTACAGATTGATTATAATTTTATTAATAAAACTACTAGTAATATCTATAACTTTCTCATAAGGTTCCTTGAAGTTTTCCTGCTGTATTGCCATTCAGCAGGACAGTGGTTTGCTGTGGAAGAATGTATGACTGGAGAATTTAGAAAATACAACAACAATAATGGTGATGAGATTATTCCAACTAATACACTGGAAGAGATTATGCTGGCCTTTAGCCACTGGACTTACGAATATACAAGAGGGGAGTTACTGGTACTTGATTTACAAGGTAAATTTATTAAAATATTGCTGAAAGGAAGTTATGCATTAGGTTCTCATCTATTCACTATACAGAAATCTGCTTATCTATAGATAAGTAAAATCTTAGGTCAGTAAAAGCTGTTAAAAAAGCAAGTCAATAATGGCCAGAGTATATAGCTATCAGGGCACTGAAGAATAGGGTCTGGCTATCTTAATTGTTATCTAGGCAGTGCAGATGTTTTAATAAGCAAAAACATTGAAATCCCCTATTTTACTCATAGATCTGTAGCCTTAGTTTTTTAAAAGTATAAAGACTGTTTCCTTAAAACAATAATAAGTAATCTTTATTGTTTCCTGAGTTCATGCTATCTATTACTGTCAACTGAACTACCTACATATTTAGTGGGTTAAAAAAAAATTTGCTTTCACTTTTTTGGTTCAAGAATTTGGGGCTGGATTATCTCTGCTGTCCCCTTGGAGAGTTTGAATGGTTGGATACTAGTTTGGACAGCTTGACTGGAGCCAAATGTTTTAAGTCTCTGTTCAAGACAACTGAATTCCTCAGTTCTCCACCCAGTGATTTCTCTACATGGCTCGCTAGCTTGGACTTTGCTTATAGCGTGGTTCAGTTCAGTCACTCAGTCGTGTCCGACTCTTTGAGACCCCATGAATCGCAGCACGCCAGGCCTCCCTATCCATCACCAACTCCCGGAGTCTCCTCAAACTCATGTCCATCGAGTCGGTGATGCCATCCAGCCATCTCATCCTCATAGCATGGTAGTTTGGGGTAATTAGACTTTTTATGTGATAGCTAGCTTCTCCAGAGAGAAAGCAGGCATTCTTTTGTTAGGCCCAGAATGGGCCCAGATCCCTTCTGCCCCATTTTACTGGTCAAGGTAAGCTGTAAGGACAGATCAGATTTTGGAGGTAAGGAATAGATTCCAGCACTTGGTTGGTGGAGCATCATGTATCCTAGAAGGGAAAAACTGCGTGTAGCCTCTTTGTAGACAGATTCTTTCATATACTTAAAAAAAAAAGAAGCACCTATGGCTGGGAAAGAGCAATGATTTGCTTTTTTCCTGAAGAGTAGCTTTAATTTCAACTGTTAACATAGATCAGAATTCAAGTCACCTAAGAACAATTGTTCAGAATATTTATCACTTGATGACTTCTTTCATTATATAGATATAATAATAAAAGATTTATTGACAAGCAAACAGTTGTTATTTCAATACTAACTCAGGAAAGAAAATTGTATAAAAATAGCTATTGTTTTTTCAGTAATTCATTTCATATAAATGATTAAGTGGTGTGTATATAAACTCTGATATATTTTATTAGGTGGGCCAATTCATTTTCAAGTGTGCCTAGGAAGTGAGGCCAAACTATGAATATTGATTAAGAGATGGCAGTTACTTTTAATAAGCAGGATAATTTTGATGTTCTCTATAAAATTAATGTTATGGAGCCATTTTTATATAAAAATATTTTAGATAATTACTACAAAAAAGCAACATAGAAATGTATAAAGAACAGAATGCTCCCGTCTTTACTGTTTCTGTACTTTTGTGAAGACAAATTCACAAATTTTTTTTCTTTTAATCATTTTGTGTTGTGATTTTTCTCCCAGCTGGAATCATGCTATATGTGTGTGTGTGTATGAGTATGTCTTTGTATTTCACTTGTTTTTCTTCCTACTTAACAGTATATGATAAACATCTTCTGGGTTTTTACTGCTAAATTCGAGTCATTCCTTTTAACAGCTGTAGTATGAAAGCATAGCATGATTTAAATCCTCTATTGTCACATAGTCACCGTATTTTTAGGTTAAGAGAGTGCAATTTTAAGAGTGCCTGCCATATTAACTTTCCCAAAAGGTTGTAGGAATTCATACTCAGCACTGTGCAAGCACTCATCACTGTGCCCACTTCTTCATCTGTTCAGTATTCAGTATCTTTGCTAGTCTGAGAAGAAATTAGTGTCATATTTTAATTCTAGATTTTTCTCTTGTGAAATTCTAACCGTTTTATTAATTTCATTCTAATGGATAAAATATTTTATGATTGTTCAAGTATCAGTAGTTGTTCTTTCTTTATGTGAATGAATAGGTAAGACTGAAAAGATTTAATATCACCTTTAACACCTCTGGAGAGGGCTGGAGGTGAAGAAAAATGTTCACAATCTTACTCTTTATGTAATCTGAATCTTTTTTGAGCCAGGTGTATTCATATGTTAGTCTGTGATTTTTAAAAATCCAAGATACTTTTAAAATGGCTTATAGATCATGTCTTCATGTACTTAATTGTTTTTTGCTAAGGTGAAACAAGGGCAAATTGTAAATAAGGAGATATTTACTTGCAAACTTGGCCTTGTTGCATCAGAAACTGGTGCAATCAGGAACTTTCGTTGTCTACCTATCAACTCTGACATTTAACTATTGTTCATGTTGCAGGAACTGTACTTGTTGCTAGTGCAGTGTTGAGGTCAAAAGAGAAAAACTATACTCTTTTGAATAGCTTAACATTGTGTAATGGTTGATGATACTGTAGAATCTCCTGTGACCTTTTTATTATGCGTATATCAATATTTTATATCAATTACATAATATGAATTGTCTTTTTTGTATATACATATAAAGGTGTGGGTGAAAGTTTGACTGACCCATCTGTGATAAAGGCAGAAGAAAAGAGGTAATAAGTTTTAATAATTTCATGAAGATCTTTTTATAATTTCAAATTCTATATTTCTGTTTGCATCAACTGACTTTTTCTTTTAACTACCAATTCCCCAGATCTTGTGATATGGTTTTTGGCCCAGCAAATCTAGGAGAAGATGCAATAAAAAACTTCAGAGCAAAACATCACTGTAATTCTTGCTGTAGAAAACTTAAACTTCCAGGTAGGCGTTTTCTTAATTGGTATAAAGTATATAAATTGTTAGCAGAGTTAGTTACTGCAGAACTTCATAAGGCCAGAAACATAAATGAATCTGTGCTTTCTTTCATTACTTACAGAAATACAGAGTTCATTCTCTTGGTGTACATTTATTATGTGTCTGGTGGATGCTAGAAATTGTGTTAGATTTTGATGATATGATAGTGAATGAGGCAAATGTGGTCCCTGCTCTCAGTGGAGTTTAGTCAAATCTTAAATACTAAAAGATTAACAGAGAATTATAGGACTATCATAAATATCAAGCAGAAAAAACAGACCAGGTAAACGGATCACTTAACACAAACTTAAAAGTCAAGGAATGCTACCTATGGAACTAACAGGTTTGTCTAAAACTGAAGGATGCATAGACTTTCAAGTTGGCCTGGAAAAGAGTTGGGAAAAGAGTATTTCATGAAACAGAAACAAGGAATTGCAGATACAGTTTCTCATGATAGTAATTTCATCTTTATACTTGAGAATTACAGGTTATTATTGAATTGTAAATTATTTCACAGACCAGTGGTTCTCACTCTCTGGTATGCATCATCATCCCCTATGGAACTTTTCCAAAATTACAAGTGCTTGGCACTTGCCCTGGACCTGTATTTCTGAAAGTTCCTCTCATTTTGACCAGTAATGTAGTAATGAAGAACTTGGACCTGGGAGCCAGACTCCAGGTCCTCAAAGAATATCTACATCATAGAGGTTTGTAGGTTTTTGTTTGTTTGAGGTTTAAATGAGTTGGTATTTGTGAAGTACTTCCGGAACAGTGCCAGGCACATAGTAAGCATGTTACTACTACTGTCTGTAATTTTTAAAATTCTTCATGTTAACAGATTCAGAAATTATTTATTTTTGTATATTGACCTTGTATCCTGCATTCTTGCTAAACTCAGTTCTACGAGGCATTTTGATTTGGTTTAGTTTTTGTTTTTTGTTTGTAAATTCTATGTAGACAGTAGAGACAGTTTTGTTACTTCCTTTGTAATTTGTATGCCTTTTATTTATTTTTCTTGACTTTTTTCACTGGCCAGGAATTCTAGTACAATGTTCAATATCAGTAGTGAGAGTAGACATCCTGTTTCATACCTTACTTCTTGAAGATGCTTATCCTAAACGGACATTGAATTAGTCTGTTTTTTTCCTGCATCTGTATTTTTGGTTTGATCATTTGGTTTTTCTTCTTTAATTGGTTCGTGTTACACTGAATTAACACTGATTGTCTTTTTAAATGTTGAGCCAGTCTTGTATTCCCAGGACAAACTCCACTTCATCTTGATATATTATCTTTTTTTGGTGTTCATTTGTGTGTTCAAATTGTATATGGATTCACTTTTCTAATGTTTTGTTGATGATTTTTATATCTGTGTTCATGAAGAATGTTGATCTATGAGATTTTTTTTCCCCCTTGTACTGTCATTCTTGTTTTGTTTTTGGATGATACCTTAAAAATAAGTTGGAATTACTTACATCTTCTGTTTGGGGGAATATATTGTATAGAATTGATACTATCCCCACTTCAAATGTTTGATGGAATTATCTAGCAAAACCATCTCTCTGAAGTTTTCTTCATCAGATTCTTTTAGCTAAGAGTTTATTTATTTTTTTTTTTGATAGATATTGGTTTTTTTAGTGAGTTTTAATAGTTTGTGTCTTTAAGGGAATTGGTCCATTTTACTTGTTTTTGAGAAATAGTTAATAATACACCTGTATAAGTTTAAGGCATACAGCATGATGGTTTGATTTACATAAACTGTGAAGTGATTTTACCACAATAGATTCAGCTAACATTCATCTTTTCGTATACATAGAATAGAAAGAAAGAAAATATTTTTCCTCATGGTGACTCTTGGTATTTATTTACTCTCTTAACAACTTTCCTGTGTATCATATATCAGTATTAGCTACAGTCATAGTGTTCTAGATTACATCCCTAGTGCTTATTTATTGTGTAACTGAAAGTTTGTACCTTACAACCACCTGCTTTCAGTTCTCCCCCACCTCACCTTCCACTCTGGTAACCTCAAGTCATCTCTTCCTGTCAGTTTGTTTTCTTAGGTTCCATATATAAATGAGATTATACAATATTTGACTTAATTTAAATTGGCAAATTTACGGGCATAGTGTTAATGATACTATTTTTTTTTAATCTCTGTGGTGATTCTGGTGAACCCTCTCTTTCATTATGGCATTGTATGCTTTTTTTTTTTCCAATCTGGCTAAAGTGTATCCGTGTTACTGGTACTTTAAAAGAACCAGTTTTTGTTTTCATTGTTTTATTCTATTATCTGTTGTCAGTTTCTTTGATTTTTTTTTCTCTATTATTTCCATTTTTCTGCTTGCTCTGGATTTAGTTTAGTTTTTCTCTGGTTAGGGTAAAAATTTAGATTATTAAGACTTCTTTCCCTAACAAAACATTTTAGTGCTATAGGTTTTCCTGTAAGCATTATGTTAGCTGCATTTCATAAATTTTGTGTTAAAAAATATAGAGGGATATGTATTATTTTTGTTTTTAATTTTTTAAATATAGCTTATTTCCCTTGAGATTTCCTCTTTGTCCTATAGATTATTTACAAATGTCTTTTTTAGTTCTCACATTTTTATAATTTTTCCTGGTAAACTGATTTCTTGCTTAATTCCATTATGATAAGAGAACATTCTTTGTATGAATTCAATTTAAAGAAAAATTTTAAACCTTATAAAGATACTGTCTCTACTGAATGAATGTTACACTTCAAGAGAATATTCTCTTGTTGGATGAACTATTTGATTAATGTTAATGAAAGAAAGTTTTTTGATAGTGTTATACTGCTTTTTTATATCCTTGCTGATTTTCTGTCTACTTACTCTTTATTACTTAGAAAGGAGGTCTCTAATTGTGAATTTGTCTGCTTTGCTTTCAGTTTTGTCAGTTTTTCCTGCATATATTTTGAAGCTTTGCTCTTAGGTATATGCTGATTTACAGTATATATAAAGATTTATATATATATAAATATAAAGATTTATACCAAGAAGTGAAGACTTCATGGTGATTTAATTTTTATCATTATATAATGCTATGGTAATTTCCCTTGTCCTAAAAAGGACAGTTCCCCTTGTCCTAAAGTCCTTTGTCTGATATTAGCATAGCTTTTGATTGGTGGTTCCATTAGATATCTTTTCCTATTATTTTTACCTGTATATATTAACTATTTTTAAAGTGATTTTCTTATAGATAGCATAAAGTAGTTAGTTCCTATGTTTAATCTGTTTTTCTTAAATCTAACAATTTGTATCTTTTAATTGCTGTTTTAGACCCTCTATGTTTAATGTAATTATTGGTATGGCTGGGTTTTTATCTGCTGTTTTATTGTTTTCTGATTGATGTCTCTGGTTTATTTTTTTGTTGCTCCCCCTCCCTTTTATTTTAGTATTCTCTTTTATGTTTATGTTTATTTTTTTTTAGTGGTTGCTCATAGTTTCTCTTACCTAAGAATGTATTTTGCTTTCATTCCTGAAGGGTATTTTCCTTGGATCTGGAATTTTAGGTTGATGCTTTTTCTGTCAGCACTTAAAAAATGTTCTACTGTCTTCTGGCCTTTATAATTTCTGATGAAAACTCAACAGTCATTTGAACTATTCTTCCTTTTTACATGATGTATCATTATAATGTATCTCCTTTTAAGATTTATTGTTTATTTTTGGTTTTGAGCAGTTTGATAGTTCTATTTTATGTCTAGTTGTAACTTTCTCTGAGTTTATCCTGTTTCAACTTTACTAAGCTTAAGTTTGCAAATTGATGACTTGTGTCAAATTTGGGGAGTTTTTAGTTATTAGTTCATCAAATGTGTGTTCTGCATCAACCTTTTCATCTGTTCCTGGACTCTCATAAAAAGAATGTTAGACCTTTTGATAATTGTCACCCATGAACTTGTGACTCTGGGGACTAACTTAACAATTTTTCTCTCTTGTTCAGATTAGACAGTTTCTACTGATCAATATACACATTCACTGACTCCTCATTCTTTCTTTCTTCTGCTATTAAGCTTTGCACTGAATTTTATATTTCACTTACATTTTTCAGAACTATAATTTCCTTTTGGTTCTTTTTGTGCTGACTGTTTTCTCTTCTGAAAACTTGTTTTCCTTTCATTTCAAGTCTTTTGTCCTACCTCATGGAGTATGGTTATAACAGTAGCTAAAGTCTTTAATTCTTGCATTTGGGTTATCTTGGGATTGTCATCTCATGGTTGTCTTTTCTTTGAGAATCTTTTAAATGTTTCTGTTCTTTGTATCTCTAGTAATTTTAAAATATGTTCAGGATATCTAGAATATTATGAGATTTGAGATCTTATTAAAAACCCTCTGGAGAATTTTGAATTGTTGAATCCTCTTGAGATTTTTGGTGTTATTATCCAACCATTTCAGTTAAATTCAGTTCACAAATCACAGTCTGTCTTTGTGTGGCTGTGAGTCCAATGTCGATTTGGTTTTTAAAACCTTTGCATTGTTATTCAGGTTTCTCTCACGTGTGTCAAATAGGATCAAGTCTGGAACATGACCAAAGGTCTGCAACATAGTTTAGTTCTCAAAGCCTATGCTGTGCTGTACATATGTGCCACTCAGGGTGTCATGCACAAATTGAGGGTGTCTCTCCATTTTCCTCTTCTCCATGATTTCTCCCATACTTTGTGATTCCCAAGGGCCTCTTTTTTTCTTTTTTTGGTACGCTGACTAGAAAGCCAGGATTTTGGCCTCCTGTGCTATCATACACTTTCTGTAACTTAGTCCATTTCTGGTGCTGACAGTAATACTTTCTGCATCGTAGAGGTACCTATTCTCAGTTCTTCTAGTCAGAGAGGTTTTTCTCTTGGAGTTGTGGGTGCTTTCCCTGCTTCCACCACTGTAGGAATACCTCTTCTTGACTAGGGCTTGTCTTAGGTAAAGGGCAGAAGAGCAAAAAGAAAAAAAGAGCATTCCCCTCAACATTTTCCATCCCACAGGTCCTCCTTATCCTCAGGCTGGAAAGCCTTGGAGCTTTTTTGTCCACTTTCACTGTACATTTCTGTGATTGAGGTATCTTCAAGTCTAAGCCTAAAAATAAGAGATGAAAAAAGAAAAAAAAAAAAACAGGGAATTCACCACCATATAGATCATTCTTCAAGTTCAGATTTTCCTTCCTATATATCTGCTATCACTTTTCAGAAATCTCAGGTAGTTGCTTTATATATCATGTAAAAGGTTGTAATCAGTGAAAGAGAGAGAGGATGGAATATGCTTAAGTCTATTTTAGCCAGAAGTGGAACATATAGTGGTGAATTTAACAGGCAGCCCAAATTCAGTTTTTATTTAGTTTTTAATACAATGCAGTTTTTTAATAGCATATCTGTTTTTTAAATTATCATTATAAGCAGGATTTCACAGCTTGATAGGGACATAAAAAACAATCCAGTCAAAATCCATTGTTTTGCAGAGTTTACATGATTTGCCCATGGTTACACCATTAGTTAACACTACAATTGTGAATTGAATTATAATTATGTTTCTGTCCATTGTTCTTTGTGTACAGTTCAGCTGCAAATTAATTTGCATTTCTTAAGGCCTAATGCAATGTCTTGAATTTAAAGTTAATCAAAAATTGTTCATACCGTAGTTAAGTATGTATTTGGATCATTGAACATAAACTGTTGCTGAAATTAAAATTAACAGTTTATATTCTGAGTGTTAGTTACCTCTTGTTTTTTAATTGGAGTATATTTGCCTAACTGTGAGTGTAAGTTCGGTTTTATATGGAAATAAAAGTAGCAGGGTTTATGGACAGCTATGGTTTAAAATATAAATTTGATACTACTCCATTAAGTTTTTCTATTCTGCAACCATTGTCATATGTGTCTGTAATGTCAAGTTCATCCTATCCCATAGCTATACATGCAGTTCCATGCTATTAGTACCAAATTTAACTGAAGACTAACTTCTTTGCTGAGCTCCTATTTCTATATTCCCCTTCCTTCATTGCTACTTGAATTACCTTTTTTTTTTAATTGGAGGTTAATTGCTTAACAGTGTTGTGTTGTTTTCTGCCATACAACAACATGAATTAGCCAAAAGTATACATATATCCCTTCCCTTTTGAGCCTCCCTCCCACCTCTGCCCGATCCCACCCTTCTCAGTTGCCACAGAGCACTGAGCTGAGCTCCCTGTGTTATATATCAACTTCCCACAAGCTATCTGTTTTATACATGGTAGTATATATATGTCAGTGCTACTTTCTCAATTCGTCCCACCCTCTCCTTCCCCTGCTGTGTCCACAAGTCCGTTGTCTGTCTGTGTCTCTGTTACTGCCTTGCAAATAAGTTCATCAGTACCATTTTTCTAGATTCCATACATATCCATTGTTTGTTTTTCTCTTTCTGATATACTTCACTCTGTATAACAGGCTCCAGATTCAAGTAACATGTTCACTTCAGAATTCTTGACTTTCATTTCCCTTCCCACAAAACTCTACTTCCCGGTCTCATTAATGGTTACCAAGTTGCTCAGACTCAAAACCTAAAAGCTAGCCAGTTCCTTTTTTCTCTCACTTTTCATAACCAATCTGTCAAATTCTGTCTGCTCAAATTCTGAAATCTCCCTAGAATTTATCAGTTTATCTTCATCATCATTGCCACCATTTTGTTTCCTAGATTCTTACCCATTGTCCCCTAAGAAGACTTCATGTGACAGTTGGAATGGTCATTTTAAACAAATTTGCTTATGTTACATTCCTCCCTTAAGACTGCTTGATACCTTCCAGTGGATTTTACTGTAATCTGTACTTACCTTTGCCTGTGTCCCCTGAATCAGAGGTCAGCAGACTTTTCTGTAAAAGGCAAAAGAAATAGGGATTTCCCTGGTGGTCCAGTGGTGAAGACTCCACACTTTAAATGCAAGGGGCATGGATTCAGTTCCTGGTTGAGGAACTAGGATCCCACATGCTGCATGATGCAGCCAGGAAAAAAAAAAGGCAAAAAAAAGTATGTATTTTAGCCTTTGTGGGCCATGTGACTTGTGTCACAGCTATCCAGATCTCCCATTGTAGTACAGAAAAGGCCATAGACAATCTGTAAACAAATTTGTATGACTGCGTTCCAATAAAACTATTTACAAAAACAGGGCAGACCAGATTTGGCCCACAGGCTGTAGTTTGACAACTGTTGGTCATTAACTGCTGCTTGACCTCATTTTTTCCTAGTCTTTTCCTACTTGCAAGACGTGCTGCTGCTTTTCATTCTTGAAACACACCAAGTCTTATTTCCTTTTTATAGTCTGTAATCAGCTTTCTCTCTGCATAGAGTACTCTTCCTGGGACTTTGATGGGTCATTTCTCAGTCGATGTTACTGTTCAGTCACCAAGTCGTCTGACTCTTTGCAACCTCATGGACTGCAGGACTCCAGGCTTCCCTGTCCCTCACTGTCTCCCAGAGTTTGCCCAAGTTCACATCCATTGTATCGGTGATGCCATCCAACCATCTCATCCTCTGTTGCCCACTTCTTCTGCCTTCAATCTTTCCCAGCATCAGGGTCTTTTTCCAGTGAGTTGGCTGTTTGTATCAGTTGGCCAAAGTATTGGAGCTTCAGCATCAGTCCTTCCAATGAGTATTCTCAGTATTTCTCAATATTCAAGTCTTTACTCATATGTTATCTCCTGCAACTCTTCTGCCCAGCCCTGTCTAAAAGAATCACCATATACCATCTCCCACTTGACCCTCTTCACACTGTTTTCTTCAAGGTACTTGTTACTGCTTATAATTCTGTTGTTTTCCTGTTTGTTTTTCTTCACCCTTAAGAACATAAGCTCCATTAGAACAGGGACCTTATCTGCCTTGTTCATTGCTGTATTTCTATACTTACATGAGTTATTAACTCATAGTCAAAACATAATTATTTATCAAATGATTTCATTTTTATGCATATAAATTTTGTGACTTTTGAATTTATAACAATATTGTAAAAAATAGATCTGGCATGTTTAGAGGGAAATTGGTTTAGGAAATGTTCAAATTTTCTTTTTCTAAGCAATACTGACTCTTTTTTTTCTTTTTTGGGGGGGTTGTGAATATAGATCTGAAGAGGAATGACTATACACCTGATAAAATAATATTTCCTCAGGATGAGCCTTCTGATTTGACTCTTCAGCCTGGAAATTCCACCAAAGAATCAGAATCAACTAATTCTATTCGTCTGATGTTATAATATTACTGAATCATTGGTTTTGATTACACCTCACAAAAATGTTACTGTGTCACTTTTCCGTTAGGAGGAAATTGTTTGATAATACAGCAAAGTGTGTGCTGAATCTTGCACAGTTAAAAGGTCAATATTCTTTTGGCTCGATTAAACTAGTCAGTCAAGAACTCCCTATAAAATACAGCTGGCAGCTGTTAAATTTTAAAGGTAAAGAAAAATTAGTATTTATAACCTTTTAAAGGGCTCTTTTTAACAGAATTTCATTTGACTTTGTTCTGATGAGGGTAATAACCCTCTCTTTGTGTGGTGCAATACCATTAACCAAAGTTAGGTGTCTGTGCAGATTTTATTGGCAGCTGGTTTACTGCCATTCAGCTAGTGAAATGAAGAAGTCACCCAGTCTTTTGGTTAAATGGCAGTCAGATGTCTTCCTCAGTGTGTTTTAGTGTGTTCAGTGATAATGTCACTAGGCCCACCTAGATCCTTGTTGGCCATGGGAAAAGAGAAGGCTTGTTATATAATTCTAGATCTACAGGGATATAGGAAGCCCAGGCTGAAAACCGTTTTCTAAGAGGGACTTTATGAATCAGGGTTAGGCTCCTATTTAAAAGATAGAGCCAGTTTTTTGTTAAATAGAGCCCAAATTGTGCAAAAGTATAATTTTTTTTTAAAACATTGTTTTCTCAAGTCATTGTTAACTAGAAGAAAGCCATGTTAGATTGCTATAACCTAAATATATCAAAGGAAAAATTTAACTCACTGTTCAAGAGAAGTTACCTTGCAAGAAAAGTTTAAGTGCTTTTTTCCTATCATATATATATAGTGACAACTTGGAAGTTACATACTTCTCAAAAGATTTTATTGACCAGTATATCAAATCAGAATGTAAACATGAATTCTTGCATATATTTAAAATTGTGTAGGAACATTTGAACATGAATATTGTTTGTGGTACTTAAGAAATTGAATTGGATTATCATTATGTGATGTTGGGAGATTGCAGTGCAACTTTATGCCAATAAAATGTAATTTAATTGCCCCAGATATTGTTGAATGCTCAACAATAAGAAAAGCTTTTCATCTGTCTAAAGTTCTGTGCTTTGGTTTTTTTTTTTCTTTCTTTTTTTTTCCCCCTAGGTACTAATTTTAATTTTTATTTGGGAGGGAGCAGTGTAAATCTTACTTGTATTCAGTAGTGTATCTCATAGATACAGACAAGGCAAAAAGAGATAAGCTGTTCAAATAGTGTTTAATATTGATGAGGGGGGCAGAAAGAAAATGTATTAAAAATATACTATATACATTTTGTATATCATTAAATCTTTAAAAGAAATTAAATAAATTTATTCTTGTTTACAGATGTTTTACTGAGTTTAATCATTCTGAAAAATAGTGTTTTCAGTGTTAATTTTTTCATAATATCAATTTGTTTTTTAATGAACCATCTTGTACACCTGTGCTTTTTGATCTCCTGTACAGTGTTTAAAATGATCTTGATTTCTTTCTGTGTCTTTATTTTTGGATCTGTTTCTTGTTATGTCAAAAAACAGGGATATGGGTTCTTTACTTACATATAATTTTTATTGATTATATCCACATGATAATAACAGTAATTGAACATTTATTTAGTAGTTAATATGTATCTGATATTACGCTAAATACTTTACATATATTAACCCATTTAATCCTTAAAACAACCTTATGAAATAGGTGTTACGGCATTAAGTAAAGTAACTTTTCTCAGATTCTTATACTTAGTAAGGAGTAGCACTAGGATTTGAACCCAAACAGGCTTTTATCTACATTCTTCAGCCCCATGGTATATTGACTTTCAAGTATAATGACTACTGATGATTTCTGTACCAATTCCTAGTCACTTTTCGGAAACAAATCTATTCATTAACTTTTTTGACTAATTCTAGAAAGTAACAGTTTACCTGAAAACTGCATTTCTCGAGTGTTCTTTTTAGATTACTCAAGTTCATCATTATTACTCCATGGTCTAAAAGTGTCATTTGCTTTCATCTCTTTGATACTTCTCAGTCTCATCCTTCTCAGAACAGAACTCCACCTCTTTACCAAATTACTTCATAAAACATCTTCTGCAAGTGTTCTCTAATAATATGCCTTCCTCAGTGTGGTGGTATATGTGAGCTACTATTATTTTAAAAGTAATGCATGTTGATTGTATTGGGACATATAGAAACAATTTTAAATGTAAGCAAAAATATAAAATTACCCTCCTTTTCCACCTTTAGGTTGAACTATGTTGTTTTCATAGTCACTGTCTGTCTTTGTACCCCTATTAGACTGTACAATTCACAAAGGAAAAGAGACCCCCTAAAATTTTTCACTCCTTTAACACCCCTTCCCTACCTTGTATACTGCATGCTTTGTGATAGACATTCCATAAAATTATGAGTTTTTAAATGTTTTTCTACAGTATCAAAATTTCTCTAGGAAGATAGATCAAAATGATAAAATCTTATGTATTTAAGCAGACAGTCAAGGCAAGAGCACCCAATAAATAGCTGTTATCACTTACAGGATAGATCACATTAATTATTTGCAGGAGGGAGATGTATCTATGAGCAGGGATTTTTGTGATCCTCCTCATTTATCATACCTGTTCTGATTGTTTCCTAGGTAGTTTTCACACAAGGCATCTGTCTTTGAGGAACCCAGATATTCAGATCTGTCACAATTATCATGTAGTTACATAAAAACTCAGTAATTACGTATTAGAGTAAAGCTGTACAACCACTGTGTGTCTCTCTCAAAATTAGATTGTCTTTGTTACCAACTAAGAGATGTCTTATTTTTGTATTTCCCTTAGAGCCTTGCTGGAGCTTGTAGCAAACAAAATATAGGTACTAAATAAGTACGTGTTGAAGAAGTACCACAGAATATTTTCAACATTAGATGATCTGTGAGCTTTTTCTTAGAAAAAAATTCCAGGTAAGGTTCTGATTCTCTCTAGAATATGTTTTCCTTCTAGGTTTATTGGAATTCCTCAAAGCAGAGTTTCTTCTTGGGGTCCTTGATTCTACTTTAGTGAATATGAGAGGGCCTGGGAGAGAGGGTATGGTTATTCTTCAGAAAAGTTACAATAAATATACCAGTTTACAGTAAACAGCACCTTTTAGTAGGGTACTTTCTTTAATGCACTATCCTAACCCACAGTTAGCACTTGCCTGTTTTTTACTTGGAATTTCTATGAAGTCCTGAATTATGAAACTTGACTTTCACTTTAAATGTTTTAGTATGTATTTCTAAAATATCAAAACTATAGTATCTTCACATCTGAAAATTTAACAGTTATTTAATATCAGAGAATGTAATCATTCTCAACAAATTTTTTAAAATAGTTTGCTTGAATCAGGACTCAGATAAGCTTCATATATTGCAGTTGCTTGATTTGTCTTTAAAGCCTCTTATATTGATATAAGTTTCTGCTTCCACTTTCTTTTTTTTTTTCCAGTTTATTTTTTGAAGAACCAGCTCTTTTGTTCTAAAAAGTTTCCCACATAAAAGGTTTTGTTGATTATTTACGTAGTTGTCATTTTATGTTTCCTGTTTAGTCCATAAACTAGTTATTACGTATAGAGACTTGGTCACATTCAAGATTGATTCTCTTGACGAGAATGCTTCACTGGTGGTGGTGTGTACTTCCACTAGGAAACACAGGTCTTATTGTCTTTGGGGTGGTCATTGCCTAGATATCTTCAATAGATCAGTGGTTCTCAGTGTGGACCACAGCCCCTGATATTCCCTGTGACACTTTCTTTGGCCTACAAGGTCAAAACTTCTCATAACTGTAAGTTATTATTTGTCTTTTTCAGTGTGTTCAAAGTTTTATTATTGTGGCAAAATCATTGATGGGTAAAAATGCTGCTTACCTTAGCATGAATCAAGGAAGTAGCACCAAACTGAACTAGTTGTTTGTTACAGTCTTCACCATCATGCCAGTTTTTTTTTTAATCCATTTCATTTCAAATGTCACTGATGAAGGAATAAGTTAATTTTTAATTAATTTTGACCTTAAAACATGCCTTTAATATTCTGTGGGGCAAAATGAAAAATAGGCATAAAGTACTTTGCTTCATAAGGAAATGTGATGATTGTTTTAGGGAAAGGCAATTACGCAATTGTGTATTACAAACTGGACTAATCATGTTTTTCACTGAACATGTCTGCTTGGAAGAATAACAGACAAACCAGGGTTCTCCACACTTGAGTGTTTGGTAGAAGACTAACAGTACTTACTAAAATTTGAGCTTTCAAAAATAAATGAATAAATAAATTAAAATAAAATAAAATATGAGCTTTCAAGAGAAAGTTGCAGTTTCGGACAACTTGCCTCTTAACATGTTAGCATGACAACATCCCGATACTTTTCCAATAAAATCAGTGCTGATTTAACAATTTATTTTTTATAGTGTATAAAGAAACATGTTAATGTTTGGATACTCTGTGAAACAATCAGTATTCTCCGATGCTCTCTGCATGGATTACAAAATGGTCCATGAGTGGAAAAGGGAGTAAAACTCTAGCAGGGGAGAAGTTTGCAGAATTCCAGATTCTACACTGCAGCTGACCTTTAGAAAACCACTGTTTGTCCATTTTGGTATTGTTTCAAATATGAATATCCATGTGTTCAGTCATGGCTGACTCTTCGTGACGCCATGGACTCTAGCCCGCCAGGCTCCTCTGTCCATGGAATTTTCCAGGCAAAAATACTGGAGTGGTTTGCCGTTTTCTACTCCAGGGAATATCCATGGCTATCTAAAAAGGCTATTAAAATGTTCCTTCCCATACAAAACTAGATAAATGAAGACAGTGTATTGTGGCATATAGATTAATAAAATAGAATTGAGAGTCCAGATATTTGTGGTTAATTGATTTTCAGCAAAGGTGCCAGAGCAGTTTGATGAGGGAAGAACAGACTTTTCATGAAATTGTTTTGGGACAACTAGATACCCACATGCAAAAGAATGAAGTTGAAC